TCTGACTCATAGCGACCCTATAGGACAGAGTAGAACTGCCCCATAGGGTTTCCAAGGAGTGGTTGGTGGATTTGAACTGCCAACTTTTTGGTTAGCAGCTGAGCTCTTAACCATTAGGGGTAGAACAGAAACTAAAAATAGTGTTAGGCCAGTTGGCTGAATAGTCTCATGACCGTAAACCTTTGAACCAAGAGAACTAATCCCACGAGGTGTTTGGTTGTATCTAAGTAGTTTCAGCAACTGCATCCTTTTTTTTTGCGGGAAGGGGAGGGGTTGCTGCTGCTGTTGTAAAATCATATCTAACACTACATTTGTCATTTCACCCTTTTTCTGGTGTACAGTTTAGTGATAGCAATTAGTCAAGTTGTGTAACCATTACCCTTAATCGATGCCAATTTTTCCATCAGCATAAACATAAACCCACTACTTCCCAGAGAATGATTCCCTGTCTCCCTCCCCCTCCTACCCCAGGTAACCACTGATAACTGTTGGTTTCTATATATTTACCTGTTCTTATCATTTCATATGGAGCCCTGTTGGCACAGTGGTTAAGATCTCGGCTGCTAACCAAAAGTCAGCAGTTCAAGTCCAGCAGCTGTTCCTTGGAAACCTTATGGGGCAGTTCTGCACTCTGCTGTAGGGTCACTATCAGTTGAAATCGACTCGATGGCAATGGGTTTTGCTTTTGGGTTGTTTTATATAAATGAGGTCATACAGTAATTGTCCTTTTGTGATTGACTTATTTCATTCAGCATAATGTCTTTGAGGTTCATCTATGTGTAGCATGCATCAGGACTTTATTTCTCTTTATGGCTGAGTAGTATTCTATCGTATGTATGTACCACTTTTTGTTTGTTTAACCATTCATCCGTTGATGGGCACTTGGGTTGTTTCTGCCTTTTTGCTAAAAAGACCCTACTCCTACACATGCGCACATACATACTTTTTTTTTTTCACCCATGAGTTTGACTTGTTGAAGAAACTGTATGGTAAAATAATGTACTTTATAGATTTTATCTGATTGCTTCTTTTTGAGTTTAACTTATTTTCTGACTTTTGTATTTTCAGTAAATGGAAAGGTAGCTCTTTTCTAAATCCATAAATTCTGAGTAATCAGATTTAAAATTCTAAGAAGGCAGTTTTCAAACTTTTAGTGAAAAATAATATATACAAAAAGGTATATAAGTTTGATTTTCAGAAACTAAACACGTTGTGAAAATAACACGTAGCTCAAGAAACAAAACATTACAAACACCCTGGAAGCTCCCCTCTTGCTCTTGCAGTCATTATCCCTCCTAAAGACAACAGCTGTCCCTGGCATAATACGTTTTGAAACTTGACAAACTAAAGTTGATTCATCTAGTAGGGTAAATATATGAGTCTCTTTGGACACTTCTCAAGAAGAAGAGTAATGAGGAATTTTCTATAAAGCAACAGGAATTAGAAGGGTGCTAGCATAGACCAGTGGAACAGACTAGAGGGTACAGAAATAAGCCAAATATATTTGAGGAATTTAGCATTTGATGATTGCAGCATTTCAAATCAGTGGAGAAAAGATGGATTATTCAGTCAGTGAGATTAGGACAGCTAGCTATTTGGGGAAAAAGTTGACTTCATCCTTTATTCCTGTACCAAATAAAGTCCAGATGTATGAAAATGTAAAATGGAATTGGACTTAATAACTGTAATTCTAAGAAGATACCCCCGTGGAGGTAATTACGCCAAGTGTAAAAGAACATGTATGGTCTAATAAAGTCTGAATAATTCTTAATAATTCACTATAGTCAACTGATTAATCTGTTAGGTAAAAATTGTTTCTGCATTCACACTATCAGCATTTTTATGCCTCAGCTAAAAACAACAAAAAACCTTTTCATTTACTTACAGAACAAGGGAATCTTGTTCTGTACTTACAGATTTAGGGAATCTTGATAAGTTGATAAGATTTGTATCTTATATTTACTACTTCCCTTTTAGACGAATTATGTGTTGAAGCACTTTGTCGGATGGAACAAGCCAATTGCTCCTTTCAAGTTTTTGACAAACATCCAGGGATCTATTTGTTTTTGGTTCATCCCAATGAAATGGTGAGTATGAGTGGCAGGCAGTGGTAAGTTATATGAGTGTTAGGGAATAGAAAAGACTTTGTTTTTGTACATATAGATTAGCTATAATAAAGACTTTTAGCCGTGGTTAAGAGCTCGGCTGCTAACTAAAAAGGTCAGCAGTTTGAATCCACTAGCTGCTCCTTGGAAACCCTATGGGGCAGTTCTGCCCTTTGCTGTAGGGTTGCTATGAGTTGGAATCGACTAGATGGCAGTGGGTTATGGGTAGTGTGTATTTTGTTAAAGATATTTGCTAAACTTTTTTTTATTATTATAAAATTATACCATAGGTAAGTAGAGGGTGTTGTGGGGTCAGAGAAAAGGAGATCCAAGAGGATAGGAAATAATTTTTAAAGTTGATGCTCAAGCTTAAAAGACAGATAAGGGAATATTTGAACTTCTTTTAATACATAAATGAGCTAATGAAGGAGGATGCATCTCTCTTACCTCCCTTGCCTGCTTGACCCTCTCCAAACACATGGAAGTGTACCAGGTAAAAATATGTATATATATATTTTTTAAATGATTTATTTTATTTTATTTGTTGTTGTTGAAAATATACACAGCAGAACATAAACCAATTCAGCAATTTTTACACGTACAATTCAGTGACATTGATTACATTCTTCACCGGTTAAAATATTTTCAGAAATTATTTTGATAATAGAGGAGACGAGCATACCTAGATGCTAGAAATGAAAAGGGACGTAAAAATCAGAACAGTGGGACCATTCTGACTGGGGTCATAATAGATGGTCCCCGATAGAATGGGAGAAAAATGTAGAACAAAACTCAAATTCTTAAAAAAGTCTAAACTAACTGGACCAGTTGAGGCTAGAGGACTCCCTGAGACTGTGGCCCTGAGACACTCATTAAACCTTGAACTGAAACTGTCCCTTTAGATCACCTTTTAGCATAGTAGCAGAGTAGCATACAAAATAAAGGCTTTTGCCTTAAGTACGGTGCTCTGCTTAAAAAAAAAAAACCCATCTATACAAGACGAAAAGGTCAACATTAACTCTAAAGCAAAGATGAGAAGATAAGGGGTAGGGAAACTAGAGCGCTGGAAATGGAACAATCGATACACAAAATGTTGACACGTTCTGAAAAATATAACTAATGTCACTGAACATTTTGTGTGGAAATTGTTAAATGGGAACCTAACTTGCTGTGTAAACTTTCACCAAAAGCACAATAAAATATTAAGAAAAATCAGAACAGTGGGCAGGAACAGACGCAGAGTCACACCGGAGCATAGAGTTTATGGCTGGCATTTGATGTTTTATTACTGTGTGGCGAGGGTAGTCAGTGCTGCAGGTCCCATGCACATTGGCATCTAGAACTGAGTGTTACTACATTAAGCCAGTAGTCATGAAGAGCTGCTCTACCAATATAAGGCAAGAAAGGAAGAATTAAAAAAAATAAAAGCAGCTAAGATAGAGGTATGGCAGTGGGGATTGCAGTCAAGATGATAGTGTAGTCCCAGTCTGCTCTGTGCCAAACGTAACAAAAAATTCAAGAAGAGGAAATTAAAAAGGTATAGTCACATCCCCCCTAAAATAAATATTTCTGTGGACCAGCAATGGAACAGAAATACAAAATGATAAATGGTGATAAACCTATAGGCCTCAATAACCAGAGGTGGCTGGAGATCCAGCTTGTGAAGGAAAATAGGAATTCAGGCAAGTCAGAGAACCAGAGGTAAGCTTACTTAAAACAAGGGTGAGGCTCCCCTACCTGTGAAAGAGGATTGACAGTCAGGTGCTCTCTGAGACTGGCTTTTTAAAAACTGTGTTCTTAAAGAGGAAGCAGGTCTAACCTATTAACAAGAACCTTTGTTAAGCACTTACAGGCCTGGTGGTGACTGAGTCTGCAGTATCCTTTATGTGACCAAAGGGTGGAAGTCCTGAGCTGCCAGTATGATACCCAGTTCTAGACTAGAACTCTGGGAGCTAGAGACAATCTTTAGTTTATAGTTAGGATTATGGATTGAGCAGGGGGAGGGGAGAAGAGACACAAAATCCCTTTCTCTCAGGATGAGCTTATAAACTGAATCCGAAAAACATGAGGAAAATGAAAGTTAAGACAGCTAAGACCAGGACAGACAGCCAGGATCAGCACTGTTGGCTGTTTCCTCTACCCCTAAAATCAACTCTGGAGGAACTCAAGAAAAAAATGGAGAAAAGTAGGAGAAACTTTGGGATGACAAGTGCCTTGGATAAACAATGCCTGTACCCATACCTGTGGCAACTCAAAGATCTGATCCTGGTGAAGGCAGGAATAAAATCAGGGCAATACAGAATCCAGTGTGTATGCAAGAGGTGTGATTGTTAGACGATGAGACTAGCCGGTAGGGGCCAATTGCTTCAGCACTATCGCCTCTTGACTTCAAGACTGAGGAATTAGCCTAGTGGTGTCTTCTCCTAATGCTGTTTCTCCCAGGGAATAAAGGGTGAAGCTCTGACCTTAGAAATTATATTGTAAACTGTTTGCAGACTCCTACCCCTGAATTTATTGGTACTCAGCCAGACTGGGGCCTGGCCTTCTTCTCTAGAGGGAAAATTAATTCACAGGTCAAAATAACAAACATCGGATGAACATAGATTTCAGTAGAAAGAGAAATATTAGAAAAATTGTCCAGTAATTTAAAATTATTATAAATGAACATGCTAAAATAGATAAGGGAAGATATCAATATGAAGCAAGAACTATAGAAAACCTAAGAACAAAGCAGAACTATATGCAATATAGATAAAATTCTAAAATATGGTAAAGATTTCAGGAGATGAGATAAATGAGTACAGCTAAAGAGATGAGTTACTAAATCAGAAGACCAGAAATTTCTAAGGAAGAAGAAAAAGACAAATAGAAAAGCTAAGAGATATGGAGGATAGAAATGCTAACATATGGATGTAAGAAGTTCCAGAAAGAGAAAAATAAAAATTGAGATGAAGTATTTGGAGAAATAAAGAAAAATTTCCTGAAATTAAAAAAAATGAGATCTCAGATTATAAGGGCCTAGAGAGTGTCAAAGAAGACACAGAAGGAAAAACGTACCTAGACAGAATAGTGAAATTTAACATCAAAGACAAATTCAGAAAGCCTCTTCCAAGAGAGTATCGTATACAAAGATACAGGAATTAGAATGACTTCAAATTTGTAACATTCACATTGGATGCAAGAAGACAATGGCATAATATTTTCAGAGTATTGAAGGAAGAAGCTTAAGATTTAAAATTATATATTCAGCCAATCTCCTACAGATGAGTGTGCGATAAAATACTTTGTTCATACAAGGCCATAGAAGGTTTGCCACACAAAGACCCACACTGAACAAAGAACATAAGAGAGAAGAACCTAGGACATGTTGCAGGAGATGTATAGAGAGACTATGGTAAAGTTTGGTATTATTCAAGACAAAACTAAGTTTGAAGAAACTATATTAATAATAACTTGGAATTAGTAAAATCAACATGATAGAGTTATGCAGACAAGATCAAAGATGTGAGAACATGCTAAGTTTTCATCCTGTTACGGCAGAGATAGGTAAGAATTATTTTTAAAAGTAAGAAATGTTTAAAAAGAAACAAAAGGTTCAGACATAACAGACAGATTTAAGGATATCAGTTTTACTAAATGTAAGTGAACTGAATTTGTCAGTTAAAAGACAAAGATCATCAGATTGGATTATTAAAAAAATTCTAGATAGATGCTGTTTCCAAGAGACACACCTAAAACAAGGGCATGAAAAAGGTGGATGTAAAGGATGGAAAAAGAACTATAATAGACAAATCTTAACCTCAAAAAGTTGATGAAGCTGTAGTAATACCAGCTAAAATAAACATGAGGACAGGAATGGAGATGGTTACTACATAATGACAAAAGGTCCAATTCAGCAAGAATATGAAGCAATTTTAAATAAGTATATGCTGGTTAAAATAGCCTTGAAATAATATGGTACAATTATTGTTAGAACTACAGGGAAAAACAGATAAATTCATTATTGTAAGAGGTTTCAACGTAACACTCCTGGAATTAAAAAAAAATGAGATCTCAGATTATAAGGACCTACGTAGTGTCAAAAGAGGAGAGAGAAGGAAAAACCTGCCTAGACAGAATAATGAAATTTAAGAACATCAAAGACAAATTCAGAAAACTTCTTCTAAGAGAATATCACAAAGTGAGAAGAATATCTCCATACCCCAAAAGAAAAATGAACTAAGACCTGAACAGGCAAGATCAAGGAAATGATAATCAAGACCACAGTGAGATGCCATTTTATACTTGTGTGATTGAGAATACAGTTTTTGGAGAGGATGTGGATCTGTAGGATCTCTATCGTTTTTGGTAGAAGCATAAAATAAACTGGTGCAGTCACCTTGGAGAATAGTTTAGCATCATCATCGTCATCAGCATGACCAGTTTTATTCCTGGGTATGTACCTGGGAGAAACTCTGAACATGTGTAACAGGAGGCATACATAAATTGCATAGCATATTCCTCATCTACTCAAATGCCCATCAATGGGAAGGTCAGTGAACATTATGTAGCAGTCAAAACAGACTACCAATGTGAAACAAAATGGATAAATCTTGGTAGAAAAGAAGTTCCCAAAGATTACATGTAGTGGGGAGCCCTTTTTAAAGAGTTAAAAACAGAGTGAATGCTTTGTTAGGAATACATAGAGGTATAATTGTATAAAAAAGCAAGGGAAAGAAGAATTTGAGGTTCAAGTTGATGGTTACCTCAAGTTGGGAGGTGGGAGAGATGGGGGATCATATAATTATATTATGGTGAAGATCCTAGTTTTTGTTTTGGATGGTGAGTTTGTAGATGCTGCTTGTATTATTTTAAAAAGAAAATTTAAAAGTGGGCCATGCCTAGACCAAAGACAGAGTGTCACAAACCAAGCTAATAATTTTAATAAGTCTAATTCTGAGGTCTCCCCCCAGTTTCACTAAAAAAAAGAAAAGAAAAAAGGGGCCACTAGAACTTCAATTTCTGGCATTCTAGCGGCCATGTAAACTGAAGAACGTTGCTGCTACAAAATACCTAGAAATACCAGATAAAATATGACAGGAATTTAAATGCTTATCAAAGAAGGCAAGAGTGTAATGGATGTTTTCAGAGTCCAAGAACATATATGGGACTGGAAACCACAGTGGAAGATGGAGGAGAAACCCTCAACTGCCCAGAGAATGTTAACCAAAGTTAGTAAAACCTAAAACTTGGGCTTAACAGGTACATATTAAACAAGGTTTTGGGGTAGGGAGTGGGAATAGGTCCTGGCATAAAGCTGAGACCTTTGAAGGGCTACACCTTTAGTCAAAGGTGTAGTAGAAAATAATTCAAGCTGAAGGGGAAAAAAAAAGACTCTCCCGAGACCCTGTAACCACAGGCCTGTCTTTGTATGAGTTAGAAGTTCATGTTTGCCTTGCATGTTTAATACTGTGTTCTGTGGCACCTAGTAGAAACCATTGCAAATCCTCTCCATGGTGACACACCGTCAGCTGAGATTGCCACAGATCAGTCCCAGCTGAAGTTGCCAGAATTACAAAAAAGAAAAAAGGAAAGAGAAGCCACTGTGAGAGCAGAAATAATAATAAACAGTTATACCCAAAGAACTTTGTGTAATCAGAATGATTAGATGCAGACAATAAAATGCTTAAATAAAAGAGAGACTTGAAAACCCACTGTCAAAAGACCAGGAATATTTCTAAAAGACCCAAATAGAATTTCTAAAAGTGAAAAATACAGTAAAATTAAAAACTTAGTAGATAGGTTACACACCTGGACCAATAAGCAACATCGTGATAAAAGGAGAAAAAATTGAAGTTGTCAAGGATTTCATTTTACTTGGATCCACAGTCAACACCTGTGGAAGCAGCCGTCAAGAAATCAAGCAACGCATTGCATTGGGCACATCTGGAAAAGACCTCTTTAAAGTGTTAAAAAGCAAAGATACCACCTTGAAGATTAAGGTGTGGTTGATCTAAGCCATGTGGTTTTCAGTCGCCTCATATCCACGCAAAAGTTGGACGATGTGTAAGGAAAACCAAAGAAGAATTGACGCCTTTGAATTGTGGTGTTAGCAAAGAAAGTCGAATATACCATGCACTGCCAAAAGAACGAACAAATCTGTCTTGGAAGAAGTACAGCCAGAATGCTACTTAGAAGCAAAGATGGTGAGGCTGCGTCTCACGTACTTTGGACATGTTGTTATGAGGGGTTAGTCCCTGGAGAAGGACATAATGCCTGGTAAAGTAGAGGGTTGGTGAAAAAAAGGAAGACCCTCAACCAGATGGATTGACACAGTGGCTGCAACAGTGAGCTCAAGCGTAACGATTGTGAGGATGGCGCAGGACTGCGCTGTTTCGTTCTATTGTACATAGGGCCACTATGAGTCAGAACCGACTTGACAGCACCTAACAACAACAACAGATGAGTTAAATGGCTACTTAGGTGTGGCTAAAGAGAGTAAACTTGAAAGACAGTCATACAGGTTACCCAGAATGCACTACAGAGAGCCAAAGGTACGGAGAAAAAAGATGTTAAGAGACATAGAGGATACAGTGAGAAGGTCTAACAGGTTCCTGAAGGAAGGAAAAAGAGAATGGAGAAGAGGTGATAGTGGTGGAGTATTTTTCAAAATCACTGAAAGGCACAAATAAAGATGTATAACAGATTTGGACCTGGATAAATAAAAGACAAATCTATACCTATACACACTGTAATGCGTCAGGAAAGCCAGAGAAAGGACCACTTATGATGGAGCCTCAGTTAGCTTGACAGTTAACTTCTCAGCCACAAATATAAAATGAAGATAGTAGAACAATATCTTCCATGTGCTAAAAAAAAGGTGACTGTTGACCTAGAAGCATATACACCAAGTACTATTCCAAAAAAAAAAAAAGCATGAAACAAAGACCTTCAACCTTCAAACAGCTTGGATCCTTTATCACCTTTATCTCCAATAGTCTCTATAAATTCAGAATGAATGTCAGCCTTTTTACATTATTTTGACAATAAGTGTTATATGAGATACTGCTATTTTGGGTAAAGGCTTTTAATAATAGTGAATGTTCAGGTTTATTATATGTCAAAAACAGATTGAAGTCCTTTCCATATGTTCCGGTTCATTTAAACCTTATAACAACTCTTAAGAGTTAGGTTATTATCTACATTTTATAGATGAGGAAACTGACTCAAAAGACTTGTTCACAGTCACACAAGCTTTTAAGTGGTGGCTGGGATATGTGTATAGGCAGCACGGTTCCAAAGACTACATGCCTTTTTTTGTTAACCTTATGTGTGTTTTCTTTCAACTTTTTATTTGGAAATAGTTTCAAACTTCCAGAAAGTTTGGAAGAGTAAAAATACAATAGTAGAAAACATTTGTTTACCCTCTACCCAGATTCACCAGTTGTTAACATTTCATTTTATTTGCTTTATCATTTGTTTTCAATTAACTACATTTTTTTTTTTCCTGCACCATTAGAGAGTAAGTTGTATACATCATGGACCTTTACCACCAAATACTTAAAATGTGTATTTCCTAAGAATAAGGGTATTCTCTTTCATAACCACAGTATAGTTGTCACCTTCAGTGAATTTAACATTGATAAAATACTGTCACCTGTTTTGAAGCAAATCTTAGACATCAGAGCATTTTACCCATACTTTAGTATGTATTTTTAAAAGGCAAGGACTTTTTTTTTTTTAGCCATAAACACAGTACTGTTATCACACCTAAAATATTAATAATTCCTTAATTTATTTCCACTCAGTGTTTAAATGACTGGAAATGACTGTCTCATAAGTGATTTATTCTTTATGATTTATTAAGGTTGGTTCAAGTCAGGGTCAAATAAGATCCACACATCGCATTACAGATATCTCATTAAGTATCTTTGAAAATCTAGAAAATCCTATATTCTTAATCATGTTCTTGTTCTGTGTACAGTTATTTTTTGAGTGAAGTAATAAATGTGTTATACTATGCATTAGGTTCGGCGTTGGGCGATCCTGACTGCAAGAAACTTGGGAAAAGTGGACAGAGATGATTATTATGACTTACAGGAGGTTTTAACTTGCCTTTTTAAAGTCATTGAGTTGGGGCTTTTAGAAAGTCCAGACATTTATACTTCTTCTGTTCTGGAGAAGGGTAAATTGATTCTTCTACCATCACACATGTATGATACTACTAACTACAAAAATTACTGGCTAGGTGAGTATTATACCTACGCTAATGTGATTAGTATTTTCATGTAGTTATGAGTATTCTGCAGAGGAAGTACAACTTCCTTTGATGATCTGATTGAAATTGCTAAGTACAGGATTTCAATAAGTTCTACACTGGCTCAAAATAATTCTACCGTATTTTATCTCTATTACAGTCATGTGTCATAATTAGCAGTCGTTTTTCTTTTAGTAGTATGTGAAATAATGGTGCATGTTAACATTATTAAAGGCATCTTAGATTTGATGAAATACCAGTTGTGTGGTAGTTACTGTAGAAATTGTTTTCTACCCAAGTTAGTACCATTTTCCCCTTTTGCAATTGAATCAGTCTGAAGTCCTGTTATGGTATTTTAGGAGCAGTTATTTATAAATATCTCAGACTTAAATGTTTGAGGAACTGGATGTTGTTTTACTTGATTTTCCTACTTCATTTTTCTTTTGCCAATTAGAGAAGGATTAGAATAGTGTTTTTTTGGGTTTTTTTTCGTCAGTTCAAGAAAACTATAAATGATCTTACAGGTATTTGCATGTTGCTGACCATTCTTGAAGAACAAGCCATGGATTCTCTGCTGTTGGGCTCAGACAAACAAAATGATTTTATGCAATCAATACTTCACACCATGGAGAGGCAATCAGATGGTAATAAACTTTATTTGCTAAATATTTTTTAATATTGTGATGATAGTGCACTTTTAAAATGCTAGCGTCAGTACAAGAATTTAGGTTTATGGTGTGGAGAAAATTAGATTTGTTAATATTTTATGGCTTAGGTCGCAGATTCAGAATTTTAAATGGAAAGGACCGTAGAGTTTAATTCAACACTTTTCCTTTTATAAAAGAAAGATATGAAGCCCAGGGAAATGAACCTAACTGTTTCGTGTGGAAAAACCCAGCCAGTAGTGGAATCAAGACTAGAACTTTTGGGAGATAAGTGTTCAATGACATGGTAGTTAAAATTATGGAGCTTCCCCTGTTCCGCTGTCTCCCTTTTTCCCGGTTCTTCATTTCTGCCTTGGTTCTCTAGGGTTGCACTGTTCAATATGGTAACCACTAACCACATGTGTCTATTTTAATTTAAATTAAAATTCAGTTTTTTAGTCTCACTAGCCATATTTCAAGTGCTCAGTAGTGCATCAGTGCCTGATGACTGCTGTGTTGGACAGTGCAGGTACAGAATATTTTCATTGTTGCAGAAAGTTCTCTTGGATAGCGCTGCAGTATGTAGTCTAGAAAATGGGGTCTAAAACTTATAATCATGTTTATTATTTGACCCCAACCTTCATTTGCTGATGATTTTATCAAGCTGATCAGGGAGGATCTATACTTCTGATCTTTAAGAAGGAATGAATCAGTAAAGACTAAGCATGCTAAATCTTATAAAAACATTCTTCCCACTTATTTCTCTTCTCTTCAAACAACTTGACTGTGGCTATGAACTCACTTGTGGAAGATTCTGAAAGAAATATGTTAATGTTATTAGTTCTTTTTTTGATGGCAGATACAGTCTTGCTAGATTATTCCTGGTTAAAACTATTACTAATTCATTGTTTATTTTCATCCCTGTGCCTTGCACATATAATTCTGTCCTTTATGTTAATTCACTCCCCTAACCTTCAAAATGTGAATTACCTCTAAGAAACCTTTCATAATTATCTTCACCTAGCTGACTACTTTTTTCCTTATTTAATACCTAACTATGTCAGCTGTAGTGGATTATGCAAAAATATATGAGAAAGGTTGCATAAATGACTGTGATAAAAAAGCAGAAAATCTAAGAGCACTGAGGAAAATAAAACTGCACGTTTTAGGGGGAGTAAAGAACAGTATCAGTAACTGAGGGAATTAGCATTTGCCTCGGGAGAGTACTATAGGAGATGAAATGGCTTGAGAATGTCAATGCAGAAGAGTTAACTGAACTGGACTTTAAGGATAGATAGGATTTTGACAGGTAGTGGAATAGTGAAGGCATTCTAGGGCTTGTTTGGGAAAAGATCAGTGATCTTTTTTGGCCGTAGATAGGGTGTGGTTTTGGGAGTGTGAAAAATAAAACTAGAAAGAAGTGGTAGAGCAAGAACATCTAACTGTTTGACTGAGGACTTTGAATTTTCTTGGTAGTCTTTTGACCAGGTGTTCGCCATTGCCCATTTCTTACCCTCTGCTTTGTCTTGACCAGCTTCTCTCCCTTCCTACAGGCCCCTGAACTCTGCCTGCTCCCTAGCCTGAGCAAGCACTAAAAAGTGGGTTGTACCCCCTAATCAGTTTATCCTGAACACAGCGAGACACTTCCTGTCAGACTCCACTGGTCGTTTCCCCTTTCTTGTCCAGTTTCTCCTTAAAAATGTCTGCTAAAGCTTTGCCTACTCCTCCCATATAAAAGAAAAACTTCTGCTTGATTTTGAGATGCTTGCAGATTTCTGAGAGTGGAAGATTCTTCCTATTGCAGTAGTCTTTTCTGAATAAAACGTCTCCCTATCTAAGTTCAGGTTTGTTTTTATTTGATACATTGAAGAGCCATTGAAGATGTTTGAGTAGGACAGTGTCTTGTCACTGTATATCTGATAAAGAAGAGGGAAGGGCTGGAGGTAAGAGCTTGTGAGTAATGGGAATTCCTGCAAATCGGATGACAAGTGGGTAACCACAAAGTCGTGTTGAGCTATGGATGGATGAAGGATGTGTATCTCTGCGTACCCACTAGCTAAGGGATTTATTTAGTCCTTTACACTAGCCTCATGGCACACACAATTCAGAATCTTACTAAAGCAGAAGTCGTGTATCATGGGGTTTGTTGAAAGCTGTAAGTACTAAGCTTCTCTTTCTTTTTTTCCCTCTGCTTCTGTTTATTCAAGTATGAAGTTCTGGGAGGAGTTGAGGAGCTGAGTAGGAAAGATTGTTTTGGGTGTGGCAAACAGGGTGAGGAGGTTTTGCCTAGACTATCTCAATTTGTTTTCCCATTTAAAAATTTTTAACAGAAATATTACAGTATTGCTTGAAAAAATGCAAAACAAAACTTTTTTCCTGTATTTGTCAGCTTTTGAGTTGATAGTGCTTTCTTTTAAAGTACTTGCTACTTTGCTTTCAGATTTGTTGCTACCCAGGTAAAGAATGCTTAATTCTTGTCATGGGATTGGCAACCAGTGTCACAAAACAATATGTGTATTAATTGTTTAATGAGAAACTAATTCACTCTGTAAACCTTCATCTAAAGTACAATAAAAAATAATGGTTAATTCCCAATATATTTTTGTACTTTTTTCTGATTGTTTTGTGATTTAGCAATTGCTGTATTGTATTTCAGATGATAGTGTGGACCCTTTCTGGCCAGCATTACACTGTTTCATGGTGATTCTGGATCGCCTTGGATCTAAGGTCTGGGGTCAACTTATTGATCCTATTGAAGCATTTCAGACCATTATCAACAATGTGAGCTACAACAGAGAGATCCAAAATATACGGAACAGCTCTGTAAGGTTAGTTCAGTGAATGTGTCAGGATTTAAAAATAGTCTCTGTAAGGAAGTCTGTTGCAACTGACTTAACAATAGGGTTTTTTTTTTTCTTCATTTCAGTAATTTCTATTTATTCTTAATATTTAAGGACCAAGTTAGAACCGGAGTCATATTTGGACGATATGGTGACTTGCAGCCAGATTGTGTACAATTACAATCCCGAAAAGACAAAAAAGGTACAAAACATTTTGAGAATTCAGATGATTTTGTATTGCCTTTATATTGTATAAAAAGATGTGAGAGTCTGCTTCTGTAGAAATTTTTAGCCGTGGAAACCCTGTGGGGTCACTATGAGCCGGGGTTGACTCAACGGCAGTGGGCTTGAGTTCTGGGGTTTTTATATTATATAGACAATGTTTTACATAACTAATTGGATTACTGATTTTATGATATGTGACTGTTCTGAATCAACTACTATGTAAAGTCTTTCTCATTGAACAGATGTATTGTGCGTGGGAAAAAAATGGACTTTGGAAGATTAATTTTTAAGTGCAGTTAAAAAAACCTTTATGGGGTGTGGGGAGATGAGTGACATGTTTAGAAATCAGAACCAGAGTGGAAAGGCCAGAGCGCGTGGAGGGTGGTGGAAACATGCCTTTTCATGAAACCTTATCCTCAAAATTCAGCCTAAGTTTTTAATTTCTTGAGGGTATGCATATTAAAAATAACACATAGTAGAACAAAATAGGAAAGTTGAGAAATACATCTACTTTCTTACAAATTTGTGTGTTAAAACCTATTGTGGGATAAGAAAAATTATTAAATGGTGCTGTTTTTTTTTTTATCTGAATGTCAGTATTTCTTTCATTTTAGGATTCAGGGTGGCGGTCGGCCATTTGCCCAGATTATTGTCCTAACATGTATGAAGAAATGGAAACATTAGCCAGTGTGCTTCAGTCAGATATTGGTCAAGACATGCGTGTTCATAACAGCACATTTCTATGGTTTATCCCTTTCGTTCAGTCCCTCATGGATCTTAAGGATTTGGGTGTGGCTTATATAGTAGAAGTTATTCATCATCTGCACTCCGAAGTCAAAGATGTTCTCAACCAAAGAGATGCTGTGTGTGACAAAGTCACTGAATTTTTTCTTCTGATTTTGGTGTCAGTGATTGAACTGCATAGAAATAGAAAATGTTTGCATTTGCTGTGGGTTAGTTCCCAGCAATGGGTAGAAGCTGTCGTAAAATGTGCCAAGCTGCCTACCACTGCATTTGCACGGAGTTCTGAGAAATCACCGGGAAATTGTGCCAAAGGAACCGCAATGATATCATCATTGTCATTGCATTCAATGCCATCTAACTCTGTACAACTTGCCTGTGTACAGCTGATTAGAAGTCTCCTTAAAGAAGGCTATCAGCTTGGGCAACAAACTCTTTGTAAGCGATTCTGGGATAAGCTCAACTTATTCCTTCGAGGAAATTTATCTCTAGGTTGGCAGCTGACTAGTCAGGAAACCCATGAGTTACAAACTTGTCTAAAGCAAATTATTAGAAACATAAAAGTCAAAATACCTCAGTTTAACACTTTTGGAGATCTGACTCTTGCATGTAAAACTCCTCCTGCATCTTATAATAAAGAAGAAAGTGAACAAATAGGGAAGAAGTCTAAAAAAGACATGCATTATCTGGAAAATTCTAGCCCAACATTTTCTAAAGAACCAATGAAAACTGACGCATATCAAGTGCAAGAGATATTGATCAAAGCAAGTAAAACTGTGGCAGAGAACAATGAGCAAAACTATGTAAAGGATTCAAAACTAGAAGACTGTCTCTCAGCTGAATCATGCTTAAAGCAGACTAAAAGCCTTTTTACTGAAAGAGCTCAAGATCAAGTTAAAATAAATACAGGGAAGCAGAAGTCTGTAAAAGAGAACTGTGCATATATAGCACAGAATTGTACTTCAAGAAATGGTCCAGAAAGGGGATGTGACAGAGGGGTAATAATACCAACACGTATGTTGACTGATTCTAGCATTGATTCCCTGGAAAGGGCATCCACATCAAATGAGGATTTCTCTTTAAAGGATGATGCTTTTGGTAAAACCTCAGTACCCAAAACTAAGGCACAGAAGGATGAAATCTGTGCTAAGTTATCACATGTAGTAAAGAAGCAACATCAGAAAAGTACTTTGGTCAATAATGCAGTCAATTTAGAAGAAAACCTGATTGTATCTAACATTGAGAGTCCCTGTTCAAGAAAAGATACAGGAGATCAGAAAGGGGATGGCATCATACACAATCTAGCTTTAGACCCTAATGGTATTCTGGATGATAATAAAAGTGGAGGACAAAACTCTCAAAATAGTTTATTGCTGAAAAATAAACAGTTAAAGAATGAGAAATTAGATACTTTCTCTTCCCATGAAAACAGTTGTCAGATACAGGGAAGCCATGTTGACAGTAAGGATTTGATCTCATTTACAGAAGTGACCAATACTTCAGTGCAGAAAAAGTCTTCCTTTAAAGATACTGTGACTATACTTGAATCAAAGAATAAGGAAATGAGTAACAGTCCTAATCAGGTTTCTTCTTTCTTGACAAGAGAACAGGCTTCTGGCATCAATCCTAAGTCTGAAACCTTAACAGATTCTCAGATAGACAGAGACCTCCACAAATTGTCTTTAATAGCTCAAGCCAGTGTTACTAAGTTTCCATCTGATTCAACTAAAAAAAAGGGCTCATCCCAGCTGCAAAGAAAAGTAAAAGATGATAAAAGATGTTTCACAGCTAACCAAAATAATGAATCTACTTTTGTCAAGGAATCTGGCTGTGGACAAATTATTGTTATTTCAGATTCTGATGATGATGATGATGATGATGATGATGGTGATCAAAGAATTCTGGGTTTTGAGAAACACATTAAAAAAGACAAAATACGCATTAAGAAAGAATGTCCAGAGCAGCATGCTTCGGTAGCTAATACTGATATGGAAAAGAAGCTAATAAAGGAGGAAACAACAACATTTGAGGACTCTGAGTCTCAGATTTTTGAGTTTGAAAGTCCAAGTGAGGTATTTTCAGTTTGGCAGGACCATAAACCAGTTAAGAATTCAGTTCAAGAGGATGCAGAAAAATCATGTTTGACTCATATAGCTGATATCACAAATGATTGGGATTATGATACAGATTATGTATCTGAAGATGTTATTAAAGAAGTAGCAGAGGGCATTGAAGAACGTACAGAACCACAGAGTGATAGTATTTCTGTTGAATTTTGTGAAATTGAAGTAAAATCTAAGAGAAAACGATTTGAAAAACCTGTGGCTGAAGATCCCCTAAGGCCTTTATCTTCTGTCAGAAATGAGAACCAGTCTGATATTCTTAATGAGAGAGATCTTACTGAAACTGATTTTAAAAGTACAGATACAAGGACTACAGCTCCAAATTCAAGTGTTCAGAAAGCCACTGCGATTTCACTAAAGAAGTCATCTCCAAAGCTTCGTACTTACTCAAAACCCATTAGGAAAGTCCCAGTTTCTAAAACTCCTAAGAAAACACATTCAGATGGCAAAAAAGGGCAAAGTAAAAGTTCGAATTACATAAGTTGTAGAACAACTCCTGCTATAGTTCCACCAAAGAAATTTCGCCAGTGTCCTGAACCAACTTCAACCGCTGAAAAACTTGGTCTGAAAAAGGCCCCACGTAAGGCATTTGATTTGTCTCAGCAATCTTTAGAGTGTTTGTTTCAATTACGTGATCACGGCAAGACTGTTGGAGTAGTTGATACCCGAAAAAAGGCTAAATTAATTGCTCCTCAGACGCTCTCTGTCAGAAATAATAAGAAACTGCTGACAAGTCAAGATCTTCAGTTGCGAAGGCAGATGAGACCCAAATCACAACAAAGTAGACAAGGACTTGTTGATTATGAAACTACAGATACTACAAAGGCAGGGCCATGTGCATCAAATTTTGACACATTCGTACCAGAATCTGATCGATTAGATCATAGTCATAAAGGAGGAACTGAGGTAATTGCTAACAATAATGGAAAACAATCAATAACATGCAATTCTTCTGAACCAGAAACTATAACAGCAAAATATGTTTCTCAGGTGGCTGATGATACTAGTCTTTTGAACCAGTGTGATTCTGTAATGTTAAATGGGAGAATACCAGCAAATGAAATAATTGTTTCTACTTCAGAGGGCTCTTCTTTAGGTGGAGGTGATCTCACAGTATATCAGTCTGAAGTGGCAGCTTTAAAAGAGGGAGAGCCTGAATCTAACAGTGATACAGAGGAAGATAATTTATTTTTAACTCAGAATGATCCTGAAGATATGGATATGTGTTCACAAATGGAGACTGCTACAGTCATTGAAGTAGTTTATGGAAAAGATACAGTTCAGATAGGAGACTCTGTAAATCTGCTTCAGTTGGAATCTTTGAGTAGCAAAAAGTGTAAGCACAAAGATTGTGTTGAAACCACAAAAAACCAGAGTGACTACTGCTCAAGACACTCTGAAGCTAAAGCGGCAGATGAAGGTGTATTTCGTAAACCTGGCTTGCCTCTTTCTGCATCTAAACCTTCAAGACCTTCAACTACTAAAATTTTTAGCTCAAGTAGTACTTCACGAAACGCTAATCTTTCCAAGTCTTTGGAAAATACTTCAGCACTTCCACCAGCACTAAAAAATAAATCAAATAGGGTGCAGTCTATTGGGAAAGTACCACAGCCAGCCTCTCTGATGTCTCAGAAGCCAGTGGGTGAAGGAAAGAGTCCGTGCAATGTTCTTCTCTCTCAGACTCCAAATAATTCTAATAGGCAAGGCTACAAACTTCCATTTGGTGAAAGCAAGTCTTTTTTAGCTTCCTCTCCAGTAAACATTCTCTCGTCATCACAGTCCGTCTCTGATACCTTCATTAAAGAGATCTTAAAATGGAAATATGAAATGTTTGTGAACTTTAATCAGTGTGGGCCCCCAGCAAGTCTTTGTCAGTCCATCTCGAGACCTGTGCCTGTCAGATTTCAAGATTCTGGAGATTATTTTAATGTCTTTTTTCCTTTGATGATATTGAATACTTTTGAAACAGTAAGTATATAGTCCAATTGTATGCCTCTGTAGACTTTTAAAGATATTTCTTTTCTTTACCAAGCTGAGTAATAAGTAGACTATAGTTAAAGTAACTGACCTCATTTTGATTTAGAACTAGATTTTAGATTTCATGTTGAACAGTCATTTGTGCCAGGCACTGTTCTGAAACCTCTGTCCTCCTGGAGCCTATAGCCTAATAGGGGAAATAAACACAATTCGGGATGATGATATACGAAGTGCAGAGGTATGTTTATCCATGGAAGGGTAAGGGAAGACTTCTTAGAGGAGATAGTGTCACAGCTGCATGTTGGATGATGTTTTTTTGGCATTTTAAAGGCAGGTTGATTTTTACTTGTTCAAATTCCTAAAAAAAATACCTGCGTATGCAATAAGACTTTTAAAGAGCATTGAGGGAAATATTTGTTAATTCATTCACCTAGCAGATATTTGGATTGCCAGTATGTGCCAGGTGCGGTTACAGGGCTGGGAGGTAAAGTGATGAACAGACAAGATCTCTGCCCTCAGGAAGTGATCATTTCAGATAGTGGTGATAAGGACCCTGATGTGAGCAAGAGTAAAGGAGAATGGGACACTTTAGAGTGAAAAATCAGAGATAACCTCTGTGAGCAGATGGTATTTCCATTGAGACCAGAATGAATAGAAGGAATCAGCTTTGGGAAGTATACTCCAGGTAGAGTGAGTGTGAAGGCACTACCAAGTTTGTGTGAAGACACAAACCTGGTTATGTTGAAGGAAAAGGAAGTGTAGTCTAGGAGGCAAGTCTAATGTTTAAGAAGGTAATCAAGTGAATTGTTAATACTTGTCAAGATAAATGGTTTTTACAAGGCTAGAATCAGTGCATCTTTAAAATGCATTTCATGCTGAATCTTTCATATGAATTTATGACCCAGTTTTTAGCCATTGTTTTAGGACTTAATTTGACTAGTGTTTCAAAAGTATTAGAAACATTTAAATGACAAAGGGGCTTCAGTATTTATCCATAGCAGCAGAATAAAAAATTTGTACCAGAAGAATTAAGAAGTACCCGTTGCTGTCAAGTCAATTCCAACTCATAGTGACCCTGTAGGACAGAGTAGAACTGCCCCATTGGTTTCCAAGGCTATAATCTTTCTCCCAAGGAGTGGCTGGTGGGTTCAAACTGCCAACCTTTTGGTTAGCAGCTGAGCGCTTAACCATTGTGCCACCAGAGCTCCTAAAAGGTCTCTAGGTGGTGCAGATGGTTTGCACTCAATTTGTTGTTAGGTGCTGTCAGGTCGGTTCCGACTCATAGCGACCCTGTGTATTAACAGAACGAAACATTGCCCAGTCCTGTGCCATCCTCACAATAGTAGGATTCTTTAAGCCCGTTGTTGCAGCCACTGTGTCAGTCCATCTCGAGGGTGTTCCTCTTTTCTCTGACACTCTACTTTGCCAGGCATGGTGTCCTTCTTCAGGGATTGGTTCTCCCTGATAACATGTCCAAAGTAAGCAAGATGACGTCTTGCCATCTTCACTTCTGCGGAGCATTCTGGCGGTACTTCTTCCTAGACAGATTTGTTCATTCTTCTGGCAGTGCGTGGTATATTCATTATTTTTGCCAATACCACAATTCATATATGTCAATTCTTCAATCTTACCTTGTTCATTTTTTAGCTTTTGCATGTATATGAGGTGATTGAAAATACTATGGCTTGGGTCAGCTGCACCTTAGTCCTCAAAGTGCCATCGTTGCTTTTTAACACTTTAAAGAGGTCCTTTGCAGCACATTTGCCCAATGCAAGGCATAGTTTGATTTCTTAACTGCTATTTCCATGGGTATTGATTGTAAATCCAAGTAAAATTAAATCCTTGACAAGTTCAGTATTTTCTCCGTTAATCATGATGTTGTTTATTGGTCCAGTTGTGAGGACTTTGTTTTCTTTATGTTGAGGTGCAGTCCATACTGAAGACTGTAGTCTTTGATCTTCATCAGTGAGTGCTTCAAGTTCTCTTCACTTTTGGCAAGCGAGATTGTGTCATCTGCATATCACAAGTTGTTAGAGTCTTCCTCCAGTCCGAATGTGGTGTTCTTCATGTAGTCCAGCTTCTAGAATTATTTGCATGTTTGATCAATTTCAGACTGCAGTAGTTGGTAAAATCTTCAGTTTCTTCATCTTTGGCATTAGTGGTTGACAAGCTCATTTACTAATCTGAAGATGGCGGTTCAGACCCACCCGGTACTGCAGAAGAAAGGCCTAGCGATCTGCTTCTGTTAAGATTACAGCCAAGAAACACCCTGTGGAGCTGTTCTACTCTTAACACGTGGGATCCCTGTGAGTCGGAATTGACTCAACCGCAATGGATATACTAGAAGAATTATTTTCTTTTCAAAGAAAAACTGTTGGTAGCTAAGTGAGTAATAAGCTGGGGAAAGTAGAGAATTTTATTCACTTTGAAACTTATTTTTTCTTTAACCTTTATTTTTTCTGGAAAGCACTAAATCACTTAGAAGCCTTTCACAGCCGTTAGAGAGATACATATTTTCTATTTTAATTTTTCCTGAGTTAAGTGGTATTTATGTACTCTTTTTAAGATTTCTTCCTTCCAGGACTTTTTTGTAGCCCCACCCTTTTCAGAACAGAATGAGTACAAGTTATAATTGTACATACACAAAGCTTAAAATAGTCAAATATTCTACAAGCCCCATGATATAAAACACCCCCCAAGTAACCGTTTTCAACTCTTAATGGATTCTTTTTAATATTCATCTCCATGTTTCTAAATAACGTGCCTGTGTTTTAATTTCTTGATTTTTTTCAGTTAGAGGTATTTTTCTGTTAGTTTCCTGCTGTAGGAAGTACCCTTTCTTCCCACCCTCACCTTCACACTCACACACCCTCTTCCCATTCCCTCATTCTCCCTATGGAATTGTTTTGTAATTTTTAGATCCGAGTTTGTTGGTTTTGACTATGTAAAAGCAATTCTCAGCTAAGTCATGGTGTTGTTAGGTGCTGCCCGGTTGGTTCCAACTCATAGCAACCCTGTGTACAACAGAACGAAACACTGCCCGGTCCTGTGCCATCCTCACAGTGGTTGCTATGTTTGAGCCCATGTTGCTGTGTTGCAGCTACTGTGTCAGTCCATCTGAGAGTCTTCCTCTTTTTCACTCTCCCTTTACTTTACCGAGCATGATGTCCTGTTCCAGGTACTGGTCCTTCGTGATACCATCTGACGTATGTGAGACTAAATTTCACCATCCTTGCTTCTAAGGAGCATTCTGGCTGTACTTCTTCCAAGACAAATTTGTTTGTTCTTCTGGCTGTCCGTGGTATTTGCAGCATCCTTCACCGGCACTGTAATTCAAAGGCGTCAATTCTTCTTCTGTCTTCCTTATTCATTGTCCAGGTTTCGCATGTAGTATGCTATAACTACTTTTATTTTCCTTCTCAACTCTGTTTTCTCTGGATTTATTTATTGTTTATTTACTTAATTTTCTGTATACTTATCACTAAGTTCAGACTCTCTTTTGGATGTTTAAATCACTTATTATGATCAGTGATATACATTTCATCTTCTTGGATTATGATCAAAAAACACCCCATTGCAGTTGAATTGATTCTGACTCAGGGCAACCCCATGTGTTACAGAGTAGAACTGTTCCATAGGGTTTTCTTGGTTGTAATCTTTATGGAAGCATGACGCCTCTGGATGAGTTCAAACCGACAACCTTTTAGGTTAATAGTTGAGCACAAACTGTGCCACCCAGGAACCTTTGGTATATGACAGTTATCCTGAAATATTCACCATCTTTGTCCTGGGGCTTTCATTTTCTTCATTCCTGTGTTGGATCTCTGTGTCCTATATATCATGTCATCATCTTTCATGGTTACTTCCTATTTTAATAAAGCACATCCTTTAAGCTTCCCAAGAAAGGAAGGTAAACTTTTGAAAACTGGCAGTGTCTTAAAATTTCTTTAATCTCATTTTCTTTGATTTCTTCTAATTTTCTTTCTCATTTTCTTTTTTTTTTTTTTGTTGGAGGTTTTCTCAGTTTTTTATTACAAGTATATTGAATTACTTTTTTAAGTATATTTTTAATTTCCTGGAGCTTTTGCTCTTTGAATGTTCCTTTTTGTAGCATTCTATTTTTTTTTATGGACAGCAGTTATCTTTTATTGTCTAAAGTTTATTAATGATAATTTTTAAGTTAGTTAAAAGTTTTCCTCTCTTTTTATAGCCGCTGTTTCTTTAGTTGCTTTTTTCCTTATCATTTTAGTGTCAGTAGATCTTCATGTTAATTCCTTTCTGATGCCTGATCATTTTTGGTGTTCTTCTCATATTCAAGAATGGGACACTAAAAAAGCAGATGGGAGCATTATTCATAATAGCCAAAAAATAGAAACAACCCAAATGACCATCAGGTGATGAATGTGTAAACAAAATGTGTGTATCCATTAAGGGAATATGCAGTCATGAAAAGGAATAAAATTCATATACATGCTATAACATGGATGAATCTTGAAAACATACATGTTAAGTGAAAGGAACTAGACACAGAAGGACAAATACTGTCTGATTCCATGTACATGAATTGTCTAGAATAGGCAAATCCATAAAGACAGACAGTAGCTTACTGGTTGCCAGGGGATGAGCTTAGTGGGGAATCAGAACTAACTGCTAGTAGGTACAGGGTCACAGCTTCATTTGGGGGGGGATTGAAATGCTCTGGAGTGAGTGAGTAGTGATGGTTGCACAATGGTGTATTTACTGAAAACCACTGAATTGTGTACTTTAAAAGGATGCATTTTATGATGTGTGAAGTGTATCAGTAAAAAGTGTTATTAAAAAAAAATAAATTTGAATACCAATAGATTAAAAGAGTTGCTTAGGAAAACAGATAAAACTCTCAAATAATTTTACAAAAACAATCTTTTTTGATTGTACTGTGGAAGTCAAACGTGATCAGAACGATGCCAAAACATGGTAAAATGCAACGTTAGTTTTGTTCTTTATGTTATGATTTCATACTTAGCTGCAGTTATAATCTTTTTTTAAATACAAGATGTATAGACTTCTTGATGATTGGCATTTCATTCAGGAACCCAGTTACCACCTTTATGTCATTATCTTTAGGTTTTTTGGTTTTTTCTCTTAGTGAGGTCAGTTTCCCCAGAGAACAATCTTCAAATATTTTACCTGGAAAGTACAGGCTTTTCTGGGAACCAAGTGTGGGGAGAGGGCTGAGGTGGAGAGTGAAGGGTAGAGGGGAGGGTCCCAGCATTCGGTATATGCACGTTAACTTAATTCCCTTATTTTCAGTAGTACAGTATCCCTGCCCTGCTTACTGTTCCCAAGACCAGACCCTGTTTTATCCTCTCTAGAGACTAAATCTGTTGGTTTTGCCAGGATAAGGGAGGGGCACTCTCCCTTCACCCTTCCTTGCAGGGGTAGACATCAGATTGCTTCCTGGTCGGAGTTCAGCTTCTTAGGCTTGCTAAGTTAGTTCCAACTCATCCATCTGCTTTCCTGCTTCCAAAATTTTGCTCCTCTTGTCTCTTCTTTTCTATTCTTTGTCCTAATGGGTTAGTCTTGTTTTTAAAAATCTCTTTGGTGTTTTTGTGGGTTTACAAGAGGAATTAAAGGAAATGCATGCGTTCAATCTACTATTCTTTACCTTGATGTTTTACATTTTTATTTTTTTAACCATTAGTTTAAATGACCTTGTTTTAGAGTTTTTAATTAATACAGAAAAGGCACCTGGGTGGCCCGAGTGGTTTGCGATCAACTGCTAACCTAAAGATTGGCGATTCGAACCCACCAACAGGCTTTACTGTAGAAAGTCCTGGTAAATTGCTTCTGTAAAGATTATAGCCAAGAAAACCCTTTGGAACAGTTCTACTCTGTAACACATGAGTCATGAGTCGGGCAGATTCATTGGCAGCTGGCAGCAGCAACAACAGTTTATACAAGCCGACAATTATTGGCATTATTATTAAAGTATACCTTGCTTAATTTTAATTTTTATTCTAATAAGCTGTGGACTGTGGCATCAACCACAACCCTGGACCAAGGGTCATCACCATCGTTCTCATGTAACTTAGCTTAATAATATTCACTTTGTCAGTGGAATGCTGTAGTGGGTATTGGATCTTTTTACAGAAGTTTTGTTGTTATCCTGTTTAAAACATGAAATGTAGTGTTGGACTCTCTAGTTATTATGTCTAAGTGCTGGTGAAATATAATGACATTATGCTGAATTATTCGTCAGCACAAAAGGCAAACGAGAGCGATTTCAACTTTTAGAAATATTAATCTTTTCTATACTGATGTGACTGATGGAAGAAAGACTTGTTTTTCAATCCTTGTTTGTTAACACACAGAAGAATATTAATGACATAAGTGTGCACTATTTTGGCAGTGACCAATTTTTTTCATTCAGTTTTGGCAGATTCTCTTTTTGTAGACTTGCTGTCTCTATCTGTGATCCTCTGCTGTTACCTCTGTGTTAATAATGCAAACAATTTGGTGGACAAAGGTACTAGATAATCGATAAAAGGAGCAGTAACCCAAGAACATAATTGATCGTGAACATATATGCATATAATAGCATAATCTCAAAATATACAAACCCAACAATTGATATAACAATTGCTTAGATGATGATAGCTACTATAGCTAGTATTCAGTAATACAGTTCATTAAGATGAGAAAAATAGAGGAATGAAAAATTGGAAGAGACATTTCTGATCATTTGCAGGTGGTATAACTTCTACTTAGAAACCCCAATAGAATCAGTAGTTGGGTACAAGATTGATGTGCAAAAAGATCAATGGCGTCCCTTTACACCAGCAGTAACCAACCAGAAAATACAAACGAAATGCTGAATTATAATTGTAAACAAAATTATAAGCCTGTTAGGAGTTAACAAAGAATGCATGAGACATTTATGGAGAACACTATAAAACTCTAGAAGGACATGAAATTGAGTAACTGAAGAAGAGTGCCTTTTTTTTTTTTTTTTTTTTTAGGTTTCACAAGTTTATTTTTTTTATTTTTTATTTTTTTATTGTACTTCAGGTGAAGGCTTACAGAACAAATAGTTTCTCATGAAACAGTAGTACACATACTGTTTTATGACATTGGTTAACAACCCCACGACATGTCAAGCCTCTTAACTTCTCAACCTTTTTTTTTTTTTGGTGAAAATACACATAGCCAAAGATACACCATTTCAAAAATTTCTACATGCACAGTTCGGTGACACTGACTACCCTAGAAGAGTGCCATATTCATGGTAACACAAGTTCACATTGTAAAGATGTGACTCCTTTCTGAATTAATCTATAAATTTGGTGTAGTTGTAATTAAAAACTCCTCCAGCAGGATTTTTTTGAGGAGATTGATAAATTTATTTGAAAATTTGTATAGAAGAATAAAACCTATTAATAAAGTCACTTTGAAAAGAAAGCTTAAGGGTGGGAGGATATGCACTCACCTCGTTAAATAGAAAGATATATTTCAAAGCCATAGTAATAGTCACACTATGAGTGGCACAGCAACAAGCAGATAATCCAGTAAGGTGGGATAGAGACCCTTTGGCTCCTGAAACTTTACTGCTCCCTGCTCCCAAACTTTTCTGAGTTTTGGGCTTTGGCAAAGCATTGGGAGATGGGTGGAGATGGAACCTGGTATAAGATAAATACGATATCATAAATGAGTGGGGAAAGGATAGATTGATTGATGGTGTTGGGAAAAAATTAGGATAGATCCCTACCTTACAGCATATAGGCTTTGATTAAACATACATTTGAATGATAAAACTCTGTAAGCTAATAGAAGAAAATATCAGAAAATACATGTCAATTTAGATGATTAAGGGTATAGTAAAAACATTAACCACAAACTTAGATATTAATGGATTTACTCTGTCAAAGTTAATAATTAAGGTGAAGGACCCCATAGTTAACATAGGAAGAGAATTAAAACATCCCCAAACTGATAAGAGGTCAATAGCTAGAATATACAAAGAACTTATTGTACATCACCAGAAAAGTACAAGAAGTCAATAGAAGATGGACAGAGAATACAAAGGCAGTTCACAGAAGGGAAAACCTAGATGGTAAATAAGCACATGAAACAACCAAAAAAATACAAACCCATTGCCATCAAATTGATTCCAATTTATAGCAGCCCTATAGGACAGAGTAGAACCGCCCCATAGGGTTTCTAAGGAGCGCCTGGTGAATTTGAACTGCTGACCTTTTGGTTAGCAGCCATAGCACTTAACCACTGTGCCACCAGGGTTTCCAAGTATATGAAGTGTTACTCATACTAAGAACAAAATAAAACAGCAATTAGAGTGGTGAACAATACCAAATATATTATTTGAGGAAATGGGAACTCTCATAACACTGCTGATGGGAATGTAGACCAATATATTCATTTTGGAGAACAGTCTACCAAAGTGGAAATTGTGACCCATTGCGATCCAGCAAAACCTCACTCCTGGGTATACTCACCAGAAGAACATAGGCACAGGTCCGTTCATAAGGAATCTGTCTGTCTTAAGATGTTATTTATAGGAGTGTTGTGGGGTTGGAACCAGTTAGGAGAATGGATGAGTAAAATTGCAGTTTCATACTAGGGAATACTATGCAGCAGTCAATAGCAAAAGATTTTTAAAATGTTGAGTAAAAAAATGAAAGATTTATAGCACAATACCATTTTTGTAAGTTATGCACATACATGCAAACAACACTGGACTTTTCGATGACACTAATACCAAACACAGTAGAATTGGGTGCCTGGGGTAGAAGTTACAGTGGGAGTGGGAATCTGGGATACAGGGAAAGAAAAAAACAAACGAGAGGGGCCTTGCATAGACTTATAATAGTGCATTGTGAACTAAAAATTTTGGTGGACTCTCTACCTGAAATCAAAAAGGGAAAGGAAAAATAGAGCAAGTCATTTTTTTTTAGAAAAAATGGAAACCTAAAATGATTTATTTACACATTTGAGAAGGGGTAGTCATCTTTATTTCTTAGAGGGTCCTCAAGGGTACTTTTCTGAGATTTGGACTTTGGCAAAGGATTGGGAGATGGGTGCAGAGAGTTTTAGAAGCTGTCAGGGTGATATGTTTGTGAGGAAACCCAAGGGTTTGCAACAAATCTAGGTAGTTTTGGACTTGTGAGATACTCTGGTTGGAAAGAATTCCACCAGTGCTGTTCAACAGTACTTTATGCAGTGATGGAAATGCTGCTTTATATCTGCAGCATATAGCATAATAACCACAGATAACTGTTGAGGACTTGAAATGTGGCTAGTGTGACTGGGTAACTGAATTATTAAAATTTTAATTGGCTTTAAATTTAAATAGCTACATGTGGTTAATGGCTGCTGAATCAAACAGGGCAGTTCTAGCCAATTTCGTTAGACTGCTGCAGATTAATCACCTGGGATTCTAGGTTCTAGTTGAGGTTGCTTGCTTTGGAAAATTTTGCTCTTTAGTATTACTTCCTAGCATGTTTTTGCTTTCTTACTTGCTTTCTTGCTTTGTATAGGTGGCACAGGAATGGATCAGTTCTCCAAATAAAGATAATTTCTATCAATTGCATGTACGGAAATTTCCTGCTGATTATACAAAATACTGGGAATTTGTGGGTAAGTTCTTTCTTAGGTAACTTGGAATATATGATAACGGTAATTGAAGATTTCTGCTTAAGAGGAGACATCATTATTTGAATTTTCTGGGTATAGGTATCCTAAGCTGAATTTGCAACTTCTTAACAAAGAATATGTTTAAATTCTTAATTATTGATGGTAATTACTGGGACAGTTATGAACATAAAATTCATATTTTTTCTCCTGCTCTGTAATTAGAATACCACTGCCAGAAGTGTCAGTGGAAGCTAGAAATGGGATAGAGAATGAGCGAAGGAACGTAGTAGATACATAGCAGTAACAGTTTATAGGTTAAGCATAGAAGAGTATTCCGAGTAAGTCTACCTAGCATCTACTTGTTTCATGATAAGTCTAAAACACATTATCACTTTTATGTATACTGGTTTAGATAAACAATTCAGAAGTCTTTATAATAAAAAGCTTAAGTCTTCTTTTTGACCTCTTTTTGACTTCTTAGATCAACTTAAAGTATATGTATTTTTTTGAGGGGGAAGTATACTGCATGTTCGTTGTAGAACATTTAGGTAATATCAGCCAGCAGTAAAATTAGCATTGTCCACTGTTCCCATGATTCAGAGATAATCCCATTAACATTTTGGTGTATATCTGCACTGTCAGGGTCCCCTCTGTCAAGTCCCACCCTCATCCCCGATTGTATCAAACCAGTCCAGGGAAGCTGCTCCTTTTCCACCTTGGGTTCCCCAGTTCCATTCACCCATCTTTCCTGTTCCCTCCTGCCTTCTTGTCCTTGCCCCTGGACTAGTGTGCCCCTTTGGTTTCATTTTGTCCTATGGGTCTTTCTTATCTTTCGCTAAAAGGTGAACCTCTGGAGTGACTTCAGTACTGAGCTAAAAGGGTATCCGGGGACCATACTCTCAAGGTCTCTCTAGTTTCTTGTCAGGCCAGTAAGTCTGGTCTTTTTTTGAGTTAGAATTGTGTTCTACATTTTTATCCAGCTCTGTCTGGAACCCTCTATTGTGATCCCTGTCAGAGCATTCAGTGGTGGTAGTCACTGTGGTGGTATAACCATCTAGTTATACTGGATTCAGTCTGGTGGATGCCTTGGTAGTTGTGGTCTATTAGTCCTTTGGACTAATTGGAAAGGGCTGTTTTTAAGGTAGCAGAAAAAGCAATACAAACACATAGGGCAAGGTCCAGGAGGGGTCTCAACACAGAGCTTTTCAAGTCCTTAGGGAAAAGTGCTTACCCTCCAGAGAGCAGATGTTCATTCTCACCACCCAGGAAGCTCCACTGAGCCTTCGTCTTCCAAAGCCTTTATTGGCCTCACCATGTGGCTATGATAGATTACATCATGCCTCCTAAGGTTTAGTCAGCCTTGTGCCCCCAGGTGGTCACTCTTGGTCTGATCAGCCCCCACGCATTGGCCTGAGGCATGGTCTGGCTCTCAGGAACCAGGACCAAAGGCCAAATTGTTTAGTGCAAGGGGGTTCCACACCTTGCAGTATCCTACTGTCAGTCTTTGTACTTACCTTTGAGAATTTTGTGTGTGTATGAGAGGTGAGATAATTTTACCTATTTTGTGACTTTTTTCATTCATTGAGTGGCTTTTTTTTTTAAAATAATAGTGTGTTTTTGGTGAAAGTTTACACAGCAAATTAGGTTCCCATTTAACAGTTTCTACACAAATTGTTCAGTGACGTTAGTTACATTTTTTACAATGTGTCAACATTCTCATTATTTCCATTCTGGTTGTTCTCTTCCAGTACTCTAGTTTCCCTGCCCTGTTACCTTCTCATCTTTGCTTTAGAGTAACTGTTGACTGTTTGGTCTCATATAAATGATATTTTAAAGGAGTGTAATACTCACGGGTAATATTCTTTATTTTACGAGCCAGTCTGTTATTTAGCTAAAAAGTGACCTCGGGATAGTTTTGGTTCAAGGTTTAAAGGGTATCTCAGGGCAGCAGTCTCAGGAAGTCTTCTAGTATCAACTGTTCCAGTTAAGTCTGGACTTTTGGAGAATTTGAATTCTTTTCCACATTTTTCTTCTATTCTATGAGGATCCATCTTTTTTGGCCCTGATCAGAATGGTTGGTAGTGGTCGCCAGGCACCATCTAATTCTTCTGGTCTCGGGATAGATGAGGCCATGGTTTGCGTAGACTATTAGTCCTGCAGACTAGTTACATCTCTGAGTCTTTGCTTTTCTTCTTTCTCTTTTGCTCCTAATGAGTAGAGACCAATAGTTATATCTTAGATGGCCGCTTGCAAGCTTTTAAGACCCCAAACACTACTTCACCAAACTAGGATGCAGAACATAAGCCTTCAGACCCAGAAAACCTATCCCACAAGGTATTTGGTTGTCTAAGAAATATCTGTAACTGTGCCTCCTGTATACTTTATTATGTGTATGAATACTGTATTTTTATGCAAATAATGCATGCCTCCTACTTTGTTTGCCAACTGCACCCTCCCCCCGTGAGGTACTCTCGTAAGTACTGCTATGCCAGTTTTTTTTTTTTTTAACATATTGCTGTAAAAAAATTAGCGTAATGCTCTTACAAAAATACCTTGGGAGGGTGCAGTTGGCAAACAGACATAGAAGGCACACACTATTTGCATACAAATACAGTATATATACATGTACACACGTACATATATACATATAGATTCATCTGGTGTGCACCCATACATACACACATAGACATGCCTATACACATAATATGCATACGTACATATGTATGTAACAGCACATATATTTTTTGGTTGTTGTTGCAAAATTATATATCTCATAGCATTTACACAAAATGCCGTTTTTTCTTGTGTACTTCTCAGTGATATCACTTACCTTGGTCAGGCTGTGTGCACTTCACCTGCATTTGGTGTTACCTTTCCCATCACCAAAAGTAACAAGTGTGTACTGTCTAGAGAATGATTCCTCCTTTCCCCTCCCTCCATCCCTGGTAACCACCAATGAATGTTGGTTTCTCTACGTGTAGCTACTCTTGTTTTTCATAAAAGTGAGATTATAGAGTATTTGTCCTTTTGTGATTGACTTATTTCACTCAGTATAATGTCCTCCAGATTCATCAACATTCTATTTCAAGAACTCATTATTTATGGCTGTGCAGTAGTACAGGTATCCCCCGCTTTTTGAAAATTCACTTTATGCCACTTTGCTTTTATGAAAGACCTTCGTTAGTATGTTTTCGCTAACCAAAAGAAATCTGAAGAGGATTTTTGCTTTTACGAAAAAAGGCGAAATGAGGAGATAGCGTTCAGCATTTGTTTTGCAGCAAGCCGTTAAAGAGGCAGTGCGCACCCAGAGCATAGAGCCACATAGGGTGGATGAACCCCTGAAACGATTGCCCTGGGATAATCTTTAAACCTTAAGCCAGAAACATCCCCTGAAGTCTTCTTAAAACCAAACAGTAGTTTAGCTTAACTAGTAAAAAATGTCTGCCTCGCACATTGTGTTCTTTTAAGAACTATCTAAATGGGATCAAATAGACAACAGCAACTCAAAAGATTAGACAGGAAACTTAGGGGGCAGTGAGTTTATGTTAATGCAGGAGGAACAACTCAGAAAAGGGGGGTGAGAGTGATTGCATAACTCCAAGAATGTAATCAGTGTCACTAAACTGTACATGTGCAAACTGTTGAATTGCTGTATGTTTTGCTGTATATATTCTCAACAACAACAGAGTTACATAATTGCCACACCGCTGAGAATCATGGCTCAGCCAAGCTGACGCATAACCTTAACCATCACAGCCAGCGGTATTCTTGCCTCACTCCTCGGCGTTCATTACTGCTAGACGTACATTGTTAATGTGCAAAACAGTTGGTTAGTAGATTTTTTTAATTTTTTTTAATTTTTTATATTTTATTGTACTTCAGGTGAAAGCTTACAGAACAAATAGTTTCTCATGAAACAGTAGTACACGTTGTTTTATGACATTGGTTAACAACCCCATAACATATTAACCCTCTAAATTCTCAACTTTTTTTTTTTTGGTGAAAATACACATAGCCAAAGATACACCGTTTCAAAAATTTCTACATACACAGTTTAGTGACATTGACTGCGCTCTTCGAATTGTGCTGTTATTCTCACTTAAGATGAGGGCTTACAGAACAAAATAGTTTCTCATTTAACAGTTACTACAAATGTTGCCCTATGTCAATGGTTAACAATCTCACAACACATCAACACTATCCTTACTCAACCTTGGATTCCCTGTCACCAGCTTCCTTGTCCCCTTCTGCCTTGTGGCCCTTGTCACTGGACTCCTGTACCTCGTTAGTCTCATTTGGTTTTACGGGGCTGTCCACTCCCAGGCTGAACAGTGAACCTCGGAGGTAACTTCACCACTGAGCTAAAAGGATGTCTGGGGGCGGTTAGTAGATTTTTTACCGTTGTTGTAAACGGGAAGTGTCCGATAACGAGATAATAAGTGAGGAGTAGGTATACTTGAAAGTTTTGATTAGATTATACTAATTATACAAATTGGTAGTGCTGTGTGCTTACTTAAACTTCGTAAACCCGTTGCTGTCAAGTCGATTCCGACTCGTAGTAATGCTATGGGACAGAGTAGAACTGCCCCATTAAAGTTTCCTAGGCTGTCATCTTTAAGGAAGCAGACTGCTACATCTTTCTCCCATGGAGCAGCTGATAGCTTCAACCACTGACTATTCGGTTAGCAGCCAAGCCCTTAACCGTTGCACCACCAAGACGCCTCTTAAACGTAGTACGAGGATTTAATTTCCTTTAAGTTAAGCTTGTTTAAAAATAATTCTGTTAGAGCTATATAAATGCTGACTTCTTGTTATGTCATAGTTCGTCTTGAGGAATGTGAAGTGGCTAGACAGCTTCATCCAAAGGAAAATGATTTGGTGTTTTTGGTTCCTGAAAGACTAAATGGAGAGAACGATACAGAAAGAAATCTCATGCAAGATCCCCATGAATATTATTGTGGTTATGTTTATAAATTTCGTCGCACGTCAGTCAGTAAGTAAATAATGAAGCACTGAAAATTAATCTCTTAGATAAGTTTAAAAAAAAACCAAACCCACTGCTGTCAAGTCGATTCCAACTCATAGTGACCTTATAGGACAGGGCAGAACTGCCCCATAGAGTTTCTAAGGCTGTAAATCTTTACGGAATAGACTGTCACATCTTCCTCCCATGGAGAAGCTGGTAGGTTCGAACTGCCAACCTTTTGGTTAGCAGCCAAGTGCTTTAACCACTGCGCCACCAGCGCTCCTGATTAGAGTAAGCTTGTTTCCTAATTTTCCTCTAAATTGTGCTTTACCAGCTATGTATTTGCTATACATTTACCAGAGGTGTATTTGCTATGCTGATTACTTCTCATTTAGAATCCTTTTTCTAGTTTTTCCTAGACTCACCTAGAAAAGGCCCCGGATTTATTGCTATAAGTAGCTTTATGATTTAAAAGCTTTCTTTTATAATAATCCTCTCCTTTTGGTGTATTCTCTCATCTGTCACTGTGTTTGTTATAAAACAGATAATTTGCAGACCATCTGTTGGACCTTAAATCATATTCCAGTCTTGGTTTGAGGGCTTGTTACTCTGCTTTCTTCATAGCACTTACCACCATCTGACAGGTTTTTTTGATTATCTGCTTTCCCCTTCTAGAAAGTAAGCTTTTTGAGGACAGCAGCATTGCTTGGTTCTTAGGAGGCACTTAGTAAATATTTATTGAATGAATTATTTATATAATATACACTAAAACATAAGCTATAAGATACCTAATTCTAAATAACCTTTTTAAGTGGACAGCAGTATTGCAGTGGTAGCTGAAATTGCTTATTCTTCTTCTTGATAATAGTGCGTAATGGGAGATCTGAGTATTCTGTTGCCATCCAGACTCAAGACAGTTTGCCGGTCAGTTTAAATGAACTTGTGAAATGCATTGTAATCAGTTCTCTGGTAACTACACAAAGGATGTTAAAAGCCATGTCTCTGTTGAGTGGTCGGAACCAACTGGCCAGAGCTGTTCTGAATCCAAACCCCATGGACTTTTGTACAAAAGATTTACTAACTACAGCGTCTGAGAGAATTGTGAGTAATGATTATATGATACCAGGAAAAGTCATAAAATTTCATGTCAGAATATTAAAACACCATATTTTTAGCTACTACATACTCCTGTGTGTCTACAACAAAGACATTCACTGTGAATGCACTGTGATGTTGTTACAGTGCTTAGTTTTCTTTAAAGTGTGTATGCCTTTAATATTGCAAAGTATATAATTAGGTTAGCTTAACCTCAGGAGAGCAGTTCAGTACAGTAAAGAATTGAAAGTATGCTTGAAGAACAACATTAAAATGTTAGATCAGCATCCCACTTAAATGTTTGTTAGGTTATTAAAATTCAGGAGTAGGAGTAGGTTTAATGGATTTATTTTGCATTTGAATTGATACGTAATGTTGCAAATGCAAAGATGAAGTTGTCATTTTGTATCAACATTTATTTCTCATTGTAGGAGCTGTATATGAGCTCCAGGAAATTAACATAGAAAAAGGCAAAGGAACCTAATTTTTTTTTTTAACTCTTACTGTTTGCTAATAATAGGTGCCTGGGTGGCGCAAATGGTTTGCTCTTGGCTACTAACTAAAAGGTTGACGGTTTGAACCCACCCAGTGTCACCATGGAAGAAAGGCCTGGTGATCTGCTTCCACAAAAGATTACAGCCAGGAAAATCCTGTGGAACTCTCAGTTGTACTGTGTAACACATGGGATCACCATGAGTCAGAATCAATTAGATGGCAAAGGGTTTTAGTTTACTATGTGCTTAGGGCTTTCGTGTGCATTATCTCATTGAGTTCTCACACTTTAAAGAATCCCAGGTTTAATGGATGACAAAGGCTGAGGCTTACAGAGGTTAGGAGTTTAGTGACCTAGCTTGTAAGTGAAACTGAGGTTTAGATTCAGTAGGAAAGAATAGTTTTAGAATATTAGTTTGTAGAGTTGAAGGAAGGAATTAAAATAGAATCAGAGAATAATTAGAAGAAAATTATAGAAGTAAATATAATTTGTTGTGATCTTCTTTGTAAGAATTACAAACAAAAATACAGTTGTAGTATTTGTAAAGTGGACTAAAAAGCATGCAGATACTTGTAAATAATTAGTTTTCCTTCTGGTAGTGAAAGTAGCTCTTAGATTAAAGATCACTTCAGAGTGTTACCTGATCAAAACCAAAGCTGCTGGCTGGTATAGATTAGAAGAAATTCAAATGATATTTTTATTATCTTCCTTTCTTGTGCCAGTACACAAAAAACAACTCAATCTCATTAATGCCTTTTTTGTAGATAACCTACTTAAGAGATTTCAATGAAGACCAAAAGAAAGCAATAGAAACTGCGTATACGATGGTGAAACAGTCACCGTCAGTTGCCAAAATCTGTCTGATTCATGGACCACCTGGAACAGGAAAATCAAAAACTATTGTTGGCCTTCTATACCGCCTACTGACAGAGGTAGAGTATGAGTGAGGGCCTTGCAGCTGTTAATTGAATACGTTGCTTTGTTTTACATACTTGAATTAACTGGCATATATAATTAAGTATTAAAATTCTTCTTTCCTTTCAGTTTTGTGTTTATTTTTTATATTGTTATTGTGTGGAACTGTATTAGAGAAAGGGGTGCAAAGGGAGGGAAGGTTGTAAGAAGTAGGAAGAGCAGAAAACACTATCTCATGTGAAACTAATCCTAAGGGCTAGAATGGTCTTATTTTATTATTAGGTCCCAACTAATGCCAGTAAACCATCTTGAATGTATTCTTGGGTTGCATTTTGGTTGGATTGAGTATTGATTAAGTTAAGTGGATAGTAAGGTAAGACTCAGAGTAGTTAACAGTAAAATTTTATGCCAGAGTAATTTTAATGATGGAGGTTCTTTTACTTATTTTTAACTATAGTGGAAACTTTTCAGCATACATGGAAGTAGAGACTAACTTTAAAACTACATAATAGAGCTCATCAGTATTTTGTTTTTGTTTTGTATGTGTGTGGCAAATTCTAGAACCAGAGAAAGGGACATTCAGATGAAAACTCCAATGCCAAAATCAAACAAAACCGTGTTCTTGTTTGTGCGCCTTCCAATGCAGCTGTTGATGAACTTATGAAAAAAATTATCCTCGAATTCAAGGAAAAATGTAAAGACAAGAAGAATCCTTTGGGTATGATCCTTATGCAGGCTTTTAATTTGATTTTTGTTTTCAGTATTTAGCATGGGCAGCTTTGAATCCTGATAGTAACTTCTGCTTGGAGTTGTAGCCCGTATGTACTTATAGATGGATTTACTCTGTGCCAGGCACTGTGCTAGGTCCTGAGGTTTCAACAGAGAACAAAAACATGGTCCTGGACTTGAAGGAAATGTGCAGTCTAATGAGGGAAGTAGACAGGTCATTGGACAATTATGGTATAGAGTGATAAGTTCTATAATATGGTTAAAACATGACACGCCTTCAGAACACCTGAGAGGGGCCCTTGATTCAGTCATGTATGGGTTAGGGAAGGCTTTTGGAGGAAATAATGTCTAAGATGAAAACTGAAGAGCAATAAGGAGTTAGCCATGGGAAGTAAGGTGGAAGGATACTCCAGCAGATGTTACCATAAATAAGAAGGATCAGAGGCAAGAGAACTTCAGATAGTTCAGTGTAGCTAGATTGTAAGTTCCATGAGGGCAATACTTGACACTCAATTAGTGCTCAGTAGGTATTTAGTGTTGTAAAACTAGAAGCATTAGTAGATGGTAAAAGATAAGACTTTCAATAAACATTGACTTATTAAAAATAATAAAAACAATAATAGTTATTGAGTGTTTATTGTATGTCAGTAATCCTCAAAATAATCCTGTGAGAGAGAGATTAAATAATCCTATCTACATTTTATAAGTAGGGAAACCGAGGAGTAGAAATGTTAAATACTATAGGAGTAAAAAAACTTTTCAGTAGAATTTATATAATGGTGAAGAGCATCACCACAGATGATTCAAGATACTTTGAGTGAAGATGTTAAATAATTTGTTTACTTAATCTTAAAAAATCTACTCTTCATATCACCCATATTTGGTGGTATGGTTATAGCTTTGTATTAGACTATTTTTCCAAATGCGTATATCTTGTCTTCCCCAACAAATTTTATTTTCCTTGGGGATACCTGACAATGCTGTTTATCAGTTAGGATTAGATTCAGCTACAAAAGAGACTTTAGATACAGTGGCTTAAATATAATAATAATTTCTTTCTTACTCAAAAGTCCAGAGGTAGACGGTAGGCAGACCAGGACTGGTATGGTGACTCTGCTCCAGAGAGTCTTCAGAGACTCAGGCTCCTTCTAGCTTGTTGCTCCACTGTCTATGACCTCCATTCCTTAGTGTGTACCTCATAGTCAGAGATGGCTGCTCCAGCTCCAGTAATCACATCTAGCAAGCATGAGAAAGAGCAAGCATGAGGAAGATGAAGAGGGGGCAAAGGGAACATATTAGCCATTTAGATTCCTAGATGCTGCCAAAGGCCCTTTTGGCTTATTTCTTCTTGCCCAAAACTTATTCACATGCCCATACTCAGTTACAAGGGAGGCTGGGACATGGCATCTTTATTCTAGGGGACCATACATGTGTTTCATTTTTCTTACATATGTATCACCTGCCTAGAGAATTCATTTGCATCTTAAAACTTAGAGTCTGCAACTTGCTTTTTCCATTCACCATCACGTTTGTAAGATTCGTGATTTTATGTACAACCGAAATCATTCATATTAACTACTATATGGTATTTTATTGTATGTATGCACAATTTATTCATTATCCATTGATAGAAATTTAGGTTGTTTCCAATTGTAAACCATGTTGCAGTGAATACATGCATATTTCTTCAGTGCAGGTATAAAAATGTTCACTGCTTTGGATAAGTGAATTGTACTACGTAATACTATACAACAGTTGACAGTAAAAGGAATACACGAAAGCCCTACATTGTAATTTATGTATCTTGTGTTTACATGCAGCTTTATAGGGTAGTACTTTTCAAATTGTGGGTTGTGATCAAATAGTGGATTATAAAATCCGTTTAGGGAGACCACAGCCAGCATACTTAAACATTTTAGATAAAGTAGAATAGAAGAAAATAGACCAGAGTGCATTGAAGATAATATGGGTAAGCATTGTTTTGTGAAACTTGTTTCAGTTGTGAGGTGTGTGTGTAGGCATGTGTCTGTGTACTGGATGTCGATATGAATGTACTTCATGCTGTAGTTTAAAGTCAAAAGCGTTGTCTTAGTTATCTAGTGCTGCAATAACAGAAATACCACAAGTGGGTGGCTTTAACAAATAGAAGTTTATTTCCGCAGTTTGTTGTTGTGTGCCATCGAGCTGATTCCAACACATAGCGACCAAGTGTGACAAAGCAGAACTGTCCCATAGAGTTGCCTAGGCTGTAATCTTTACAGGAGCAGATCACCAGGTCTTTTCTTTAGTGGAGCAGTTAGTAGGTTGGAGCCATCGACCTTTCGGTTAGCAGCCAAGCACGTAACCATTGCACCACCAGGGCTCCTTTTCTCACAGTTTAGGAGGCTAAAAGTCTGAATTCAGGGTGCTGGCTCTAGGGGAAGGCTTTCTATCTCTGTTGGCTCTGGGGGAAGGTCCGTGTCTCTTTTCAGCCTTGGCGCCTTGGTGATCTTCATGTGGCATGGTATCTGTCTTTCCCCATCTCTGCTTCCTTGCTTAATCTTTTATGTCTCAAAAGAGATTGATTTAAGACATACCCTACTAACATAACAAGGAAAACCCACTCCCAAATGTGATTATGACTATAAGTATAGGACTTAGGGTTTATAACGCATATTTTTTTGGGGAGGCACAATTCGATCCATAACATTCCACCCTTTGGCCCCCAAAATTCACGTCCTTCCCATATGCAAAACACATTCAGCCCATCACATTATCCCAAAATCTTAAATCATCTCCAAGTCCAAAATCGCATCTTCTGAATCATCTAAATCAAATATGGGTGAGATTTAAGGCGTATTCCATTCCGTGGCAAAATTCCTCTTCATTTGTGAACCTGTGAAATCTAGAATACAAATTATCTGCTTCCAGAGTACAATGGTAGAGCAGGCACAAGTTAGATATTTCCATTACAAATGGGAGAAATTAGAGGGAAAGAACGAATAATGGGCAGTAAGCAAGTCCAAAATCCAGCAGAACAAGTACAAACTCTCAAGGCTGGAGAATAATCCTGTTCTCTGAGACCATCTTGGCCTAGCTGTGCCCTTCAAACTCTGGGTGTTGGCCATGCTATCTGTATTCTGGGTGGAGGTCCCTTGGCCCTGGGCTCTAGCCACACCTTCTAGGCCCATTGGAATGGCAACTCTGCTCCCTTGGCTTTGGGCAGCCCCATTCTAGTACATCTGAGTGGCAATCCCTTGGCCCCAGGAGACCCCATTCTTCTGCCCCTTGGGCATGGTAGCCCCACCTCCTCAGCTTTGAGCAGAGGCTCCATCCTCTTGGCACGCCTGAAAGGCAGCCCTACACTTCAGCACCGCGTTGGTGAGGATCTGACTCTTTGAAACCTAGGAAACCTTATTCCATCCTTTGAAACCTAGGAGGCTGTAGCTCCACCTTTGAGATCCAGGAGACAGAGTCTCCAGCCTTTGAAACCAAGATAGCCCTGCTTCCCATCTCAAATATACAAGTTCATCACTTAACAACCTCTACGTTCCACCAAACATTTGAGTATAATTCAGACAAGTTCTTTGCCACTGCATAGAAAGCATCGCCATTACTCCATTGTCCAGTTACGTTTGGCATTTCCTTTAAAACCCTCACTAGAAGCACATTTAATGTCCATATTTCTAGCAACATTCTGTAGACAGCGCTGTATGTATTCACTAAGATGATAGTGACTTTCTCTGTGACTTTCCTCACTTCCTTCTGAGCCCTCACCAGAATTGCCTTTGACGTCCATAATTCTACCAACAGTCTCTTCAAGGCAGTCTGGTTTTTACTTTTCAGCATCTTAAGTCTTCCAGCCTCTACCCATTGCTCAATTCCAAAGCTACTTCCACATTTTAGGTATTTATTAGAGCAGCACCCCAGTCTCTGGTATCAAATTCTGTCTTAGTTAGGTACAGTGGTTAAGAATTCGGCTGCTAACCGAAAGGTCGGCAGTTTGAATCCTCCAGCTGCTCCTTGGAAACCCTATGGAGCAGTTCTGCTCTGTCCTGTAGGGTCGCTGTGAGTCAGAATCCACTCAGTAGCAACGCGTTTTTTTGGCTATAACAGGAATACCACAAGTGGGTGGCTTTAAGAAACAAATTTATTTTCTCATAGTTTACAAGACTAGAAGTCTGAATTCAGGACGCCAGCTCTAGGGGAAGGCTTTCTCTCTGTCTTTTGGCTTTGGGGGAAGGTCCTTGTTTCTTTACAGCCTTGGCTCCTTGGTGATCTTCATGTGGCATAGCATCTGTCTTCCCCCATCTCTGCTTCCTTGCTTAATCTGCTCTTTTATGTCTCAAAAGAGATTGACTTAAAACACACCCTACACTAATACTGCTGGGTTAACATAACAAAGAAAACCCATTTCCAAATGTGATTATAACCACAGATATCACCACCCACCACCCATTGTGACCTTATAGGACAGAGTAGAACTGCCCTATAGGGTTTCCAAGGAGCACCTAGTGGATTCAGACTGCCACCTTTTGTTTAGCAGCTGAACTCTTAACCACTGCGCCACCAGGGTTTCCGAACCACAGGTATAGGGGTTAGAATTTACAACACATACTTTTGGGGGACACAGTTCAATCCATAACAAGCATTTGTGTAAACACTGGTCGTGTGTGTGTGTGCGTGCGTGTGTGTGTGGAATTCTGTTGCGTGCTTTTTTTCTTTTTATCCATTGAAATGGTAGTGACATTTTTCTTCATTAATTTGTTAATGTGGTAAATTACAACGCTTTTCTAATCTGAAAACATCTTTTATTCCTAAAATAAGCCCAGGTTGGTCCCATGTTATTAATGAGGACAGCCTATAATTTTTCTTTGTCATAATATCTTTGTCTAGTTTTAGTATCGAGGTTACACAGACTTTAAAAAATGAGTTGGAGAAATTTTCTGAAATGTTTTGTTTAAGACGGTTTGTTTCTTGCAGGTTGAGTTAACTTGCTATAGTTACAGCCTTCTGAATTTATTAGTGTTGTTTTTTTGATAGATGGGCAGTTCTTTACCTACTGTTTAAATTTCCTTAATGGTTATAGATCTATTGAAGTTTTCTGTTTTTGTCTGAGTTTTGCTAATTCATATCTTTTAAGAAAAATGGCTACTTCATCTTAGGTCTTCAGATATATTGATGTAAAGTTGTGCATTGTATTCTCATTTTTTTAATTCCAACTGTATTTATGGTTGGGTCCCCTTTTTCATTCTCTGAATTATATATTTATGCCCTAACTCCATGTGTAGCACAGGCCTGTGGTTGGAAGGTCCCAGAGGAGAATTTATTTTTTACCAACTGAGCCCAGGCCAAGATAGATACACTTCTTTTTTTTGTCTCTCCACCTCTGCCAGACCCCTTTGCTTTCTGGTGGGCATAGAAAGCCAAGCTCTTATTTTGGAAATTTCAACATCTTGATTGGATTGATGGTTTTGCTGATGTAGACATGTGTCAAACTCATAGCACTAAGGACTTAAGAATCTCTACATTTTATCAAATGTAAATGATACCTCAGTAATGTTGATTTTAAAAAGCAAAGCAAAACAAAAAACATGTAGGCCCCTCCACAATGACCGACCTTCACCCCTTACTCTGTCTCCTCCGGGAAGTCACAGCAGCTCAGGGGTTTTCACCTCTGGTTTTTATCTTCCTCGTTGTTTTTAGCCCCTAAGAATTTCTCTTACATTTTTATGAGCTAAGTCCTGAGATTTAAAGGATGTTGTTATAATTTATAGAGCATTTCTAGATGTTTATAGTGGGAGGGTTTCCAGGTAATAGGATCCATCTTTTTGGTGGAAACACAAATCAAGTCAGTTAGCAGTTTTGAGACCCTCAAGTAAATGTTGACCAGAGAAGATGGCCTCAAATTTAGAAGAATGAGCTGACTAGGATCATAGCTGTGCTGTAGATACCTGTATAAATAAACTATTCATTCATTCAGCATTTATTTATTGTACTTACTATGTGCCAGGCACTGTTCTAGGCAGTGACCAAAACAAAACCCATGTTCTTAATGGGACTTAACATTCCAGTGGAGGGAGATAGACAGTAAACAAATAACTATGTGATGAGTCAGATTGGGATAAGTGCGAATAAACACTAACCTGTTTTATTTTAACTTGGCATTTCCCAAATATATTTTACTATGGAATGTTCTAGAATACAGTGTGAAAAACATCAGTATAATAGAATTTCAATTCAGCTGTGTATTATTTATGTGTTCTCACTAGTTTTTATTAGGTAGAAATGATAAATACTTGCCTTATAAGGTTGTTATGAGGAATATATGAAATAATGTATGAGAAACTCCTAGTGGAGTTCCTGATATCTAGTTACTAGTTCACATTAGCTCCCTTCTCTGATTGTGAGTGTATTTGTTTAGAGAAAGATACTATGTACAGAGACAGGATTGATAGAGTCCTTATTAATCTTTATGTGTAATTTTATCAATAGGAAACTGTGGAGATATAAATTTAGTACGACTGGGGCCAGAAAAGTCTATTAATAATGAAGTCCTAAAATTCAGTTTGGACAGCCAAGTTAACCACAGAATGAGTAAGTACTGAGTAAGGTACATATTAACAATCTCTCTTTTTTTTTATGGTAGACAGTGACTTGGATTTTAAAGGTAATTTGGACACCCTAGAGATAGTCTAGCTTTGGGAACTAGTTTTTCTTCACATTGTGCATGTGTGTGTGAGTTTGTTAGAATTGGCATATAATTTATTTTTATTCTTATTTCTTTAGAAAAGGACTTACCTTGTCATGTTCAGGAGATGCATAAAAGAAAAGAGTTTTTAGATCATCAACTAGATGAACTTTCCCGCCAGCGTGCTTTGTGCCGAGGTGGAAGGGAAGTACAGGTAAATAAATATTTTTTGATTAGTGTTCTTTAAATAATAACTCAGGTATACAAACTTATTGATACCATACTTTTATTGGGAGTGGCATAATTCATGTACAAAAATGTATATAACCAATTTTTAATTTGGTATAATAAAGTAGTATGGCTTACATCAAGGGTTAACAAACTTTTTTTGTAAAAGGCAAGACAGTAATATTTTCGGCTTTGTAGACCATCTGTTGTCTGTAGCATCTACTCAGTTCTGCTATTGTAGGACGAAAGTAGCCATAGACAGTACATGAACAAATGGATGTGTCTGGTTTCAGTACAAATTTATGTACAAAAACAGTAGGTTGAATTTGGCCCATAGGCTATAGTGTACTCATCCCTGCTTTATATTATACCTATACAGAATTTATTAGTCCTCGTTCAGTTGCAAGTTAAAGAAATCCAATTCAAATTAGGTTAGTCAAAAAAGGTATTTATTGGCTTACATAACTAGAAGAACCAGGAGTGGACTAGCTTCAGCATGACTGGATCCAGAGGCTCAGATGATGTCATTTCTCCTCCCTGTAACTGGTTTTTCTCTGTGTGTCAGCTGTTTCTTCTCCAGGAGAAGATGAGTGCCAACATCTCTAGGCTCCACCATCGCAGCTTACAAACCCCAGAGGAAGAAAAGTTTTCTCTCCTCACATCCATACGTTAATTCCAAGGAAGAAGTGATTATTCCAGGCGTGGGCAAGCTGGTCCAGTCTCTGTTTTTAAGACTTGCCTAGCCTGTATTATATACCCATCACTGTGGCTGGAGAAAAAGCTGGGGTATGACTGACAACCTCATTTGAACCACTTGGAAATTAGTGGTGGAATAATTACCGAAAGGTTGGAATGCTAAGCAAATAGAAATAGCATCCACTCAGTCCACTGGACCTGAGTCGTAATTCAGTGATACAGAAGGTCTTTCAGGACTCCACTATGATAATAATAAGCTTTTCATTAATTGAAAATATAGACTCACTCTTTTGAAATGGGAGCAGTCCATTAGAAAGTGTTTTAAAATGCTTAGCTTAGTTTTAATAATGACATCCAAATTTTTTCCAGAGACAAGAATTAGATGAAAAAATTGCCAAAGTTTCAAAAGAAAGGCAGGAACTTGCTTCCAAAATTAAAGAGGTAAGTAGTTCACCTATAACATTTTCTTTTTTTTTTAATTATGACATGATTTAGACATCCTATGTACTTTTCTCAATTATGTTTTTAAAACTTTTTATTATGAAAAATTTCAAACATAAAATTTCAGCCTACAAATGGATTCTTAACTACCACCTGAGATTTACAAGAAAGAAGTGATTATAAATTATGTTTTTCCTCTTTTAAGACTGGGTATTCTAAAAACCCACTTCTTAGGTGCTCCGTCTCCCTTGCCCCCCACTGCAAAAAACAGTTTTTTCCTCTGGTAATTATGAACAAATGAAGAGTTAATGAAAATAGGTTTGCAGGTGTTTTCCCTATTTAAAAGGAAGAAAGAAAATCACATGTATGTGGATTCAAGTCACATGACAGTGATGGGGCTTGGCACAGGAGAGGATAAGCTCTTTTTTTGCAATTCTTAATTTAAAGCATAAACTCTTTGTTCTTGTTTTTGATTATAAGAATTCTTCTATAACATGTATAACTTTTCTCCCAGTATTCTTTGGGTATAGAAGTAACAAAATCAACATTTAGACTGATGGAAGCTGGGATGAGTCAGATGTATATTCTGATCACTAGAATGCTGCTCTCATCAGAACAAGCAGGAGTCAGGGCGAAAGGGTACTATCCAACTGGTAACCATATTAGTATTTTTAAGTTGGGATTTTCTCTTGAATATATTATTAGCCTTCTCTGTGGAGCCCTGGTGGCACAGTGGTTAAGTGGTTGACTGCTAACCAAAAGGTCAGCAGTTCTGATCCACCAACCACTCCTTGGAAACCCTGTGGGGCACTTCTGCTCTGTCCTATAGGGTCACTATGAGTGAGCGTTGACTCTATGGCAACCGTTTTTTTTTTTTCCCCCCTAATGGGTATGTAGCAAAATAAAGTAGAATTTAATGTATATTTCCACTGACAGTTTATTTAAACTAAAAATTCAGTGGAAAGCTTTTTACTAAAATTTTAAACCAAGCCCAGAATGAATTTTTGGGAGTTTAAAGATGAAGTCCATGTTCACAAGTTTTATGTACTCATCATATGTGTTACCACATGTGTTCTGTGGGCCATTGACTTAATTGTGCCTTGGTAGTTTAACTCACTAGATTGCTGAAGGGGTGTTTGTCAAAGCTTTAGTGTGTGAGCACTAGAGGGCCACAGTTGCCACCCTCTTCCTAAAGCTCACATATATGCCTTGGAGTTCATGGTTGAGTATATCATATGTGCAGGGATGAATCACTACCACTTTTCAGTAGCAGAAATAGGCAAATTGACTAATAATAAACTCAGCTTTTAGTTTGAACATTAAATTGTATACATTGTGAGGTGTCATTCACATCGTGTGGCTCTATCACAGTATATTTCGTTATAGAAACAGACCAGTGTTGTTTTTCTTAATGTGGAGGTAGAAAGGTCCACAGATAATTTTGTTGGTATTAGACTTTATAAAAGAAAGAACAACACTATATACTTTAAAAATTAATAGAAGAAAATGTACATTCAAGCTTAGTTCTAACCCTAGCTTTTACTCAGATATTTGTTTACTACTCAGTAGAATTAATTGGGGATCTCTACTTATTCTGATACCTATCTAAATACATCTGGCTACAAAAAGAATTATAGTCTATTTTGACCAGATCAAACCCTGAATAAATTTTTTTTAATGTGCTTAAATCATGTTCTCAGCTTAGACTGCAAAGCACAGTGTTCTTTATGGTGATTTCTGATTATGTTGAATGTTTCTGCTGTTTTCTGCGTGTGAGCTTTTCCTCTGTTACTGAATATTATTCTGTCACATAATAAATGCTGGATGTTTTATAATAAAAACAGGCATATCATAGTAAGAATATATGTATAACTAAATATTAACTTTTATTTATTCTCTTAGGTTCAAGGACGCCCACAGAAAACACAGAGTATCATCATCTTAGAGTCCCATGTCATCTGCTGCACATTGAGCACAAGTGGTGGTTTACTACTTGAGTCTGCTTTTCGTGGGCAAGGGGGTGTTCCGTTCAGTTGTGTCATTGTTGATGAGGTCAGTGAGCAGTCGGCCATACATCTTTAACTAACACTGTAAGGAGTAAGTCATAGATGAATTGTGACTGCGGAGATGTCGATAATATTTTTCTTTTGCATCTTATTTTTACCTGCCAATACCTGTGTGTTCTCTTATGTTGAAATATGCTACTAATAACTCATCACAGTTAATTTAAAATTACTTTACCAGTATTAGGATTCTAAGGATGCTTGATTGCTGCTAACAAAATCCCTGCCAAGTGATTATCTAGACCTAGTTTGGAACATCTCCAGTAATAAGCAATTCACAACCTTTGAAACAGTTTTAATATAATTTTTGACACCTCTGAGCCACAGTATTTTCATCTTAACATCCCTGATTCCGGTTTTATTCATTGAGTTATTGGTTATTGGCTACCTACTGTTTGTCAGAATGTAGAGCCAGAAGACAGAGGAAGTGGAAAATATTTGCCAAATTGATCCAGGAGATCGAAGTCCCAATATCCACCAGAATGAAAGAACAGAAAAAGTAGAAATGATGAAATAATTGAAGGAAATGTCATTGAATTGAAGAGAAACTTGACTCTTGTGATTGAAGAGGCCTACTGAGGAGCCTTGGTGGTGAAGTGGTTAAGAGCTCAGCTGCTAACCAAAAGGTCAGCAGTTTGAATCCACCAGCCACTCCTTGGAAACCCTATGGGTCAGTTCTACTCTGTCCTGTAGGGTTGCTATGAGTCGGAATTGACTCTACGGCACAGACTGATGAACAAGGAAGAATGATTTGATGTGGGGGGAGTGGTTTATACAGTCACACCTATTATGATTTCTGAACTTCAGAGACAAGTTCTGTTTTCTAGAGGAGAAAATGTTCCATCAGGCTCTTGCCCAGCTGAACAAAGAGCACAAATTGAAGATATATAAGGCCTTCTAATTTGCGGCTAGTGCCCAAGTAGTAGTTGGAACCAAGTAGTGGCTGACTTCAAAATATATCTTTGTTTTTTAAATTGTGCTGCGTAGAGGTGTTTTTGTTGTTTGTTTTCTAACCAGCAAAAATTCTTATTTTGATAATTTGGTGCAGAAACAGAAGTATGGTACTTTTCTGAATAGTTAGAACTTTTATGAATTACGTAAACCGTATGTGGATAAACTAATAGCTAAGATAATCAAGAGTAATTTCTCCTTTCCATATTTCTTACCAAGGCTGGACAGTCTTGTGAAATTGAGACTCTTACTCCGCTCATCCATCGTTGCAACAAGCTTATCCTGGTAGGAGATCCTAAACAGCTCCCTCCCACGGTCATTTCTATGGTAAGTTTATTTTATATTCATATTGCCTTAAAGTGGAAGGGGCTTTTTGTTTTCAAGGATAGGAGTAGTCTTTTTAGGATTATCAGCTTCTATTTGGAGGGAGAAATAGGGAATGAGAGAAGAGAAGCACTGAGTCTTCATTAGTAAAAAAAAAAAAAATCTCTGAAAATGTACCTTTATTCATAATTGTACTTGTGTGAATCTGTATGGCAAGAACAGTGTTAAGTGTTGGAGACCAGAGGCTGTCTGCCTTAGGCCTTTCCTTTGAGAAAGATGGTGTCCGGATATTTTAACGGACTGTCTCTGACTTACTTTAATAATACAAACACTAAAACAATAATAAAAGAAAAACTTTAAAAGCAAGGAAAGGAACCCCAGCCTTCTGGCTTATACTTAATCAGGCACACATATGAGGAAGACATTATAAAGAGAAATTCTTTTTGAAGTGCATTTCCAATTTTAGTATCCTGTAGTACAAGAAAATTTCTCTGCTCCTCACGTTTTCTGAAGGTGAAGGTGACAGGAAAAGAAAAGGAATTAATTAGAAACTCCGGGAAGATAAGCCCTTAGTTACATTGTGATCCACTTCACTTTGTTATTATTTTTTTTTTAATCCCACTGAAGATGGCTTGTCGAAGTGCACGTCAGACTCAAGATTGAGTAGATGTTTTGGGTCATTTGAATAAACCTAAATCGTGGTTCGAAATTTAATAAAATTTGTGTTCTTTACTGCTACATTGATTATCTGTACCAATATAGAGAAGTAGTTGCATAAACAGTCCCAGAGAAACTATCATTTTAGAAGCATTTTTATTTTTGTTGTCTTTATTGACTTTGGAATTACTCAGAATGATAATGTAGTTCTTTGTGTGACATCTGAGCACATGTATAAATCATATGTAGCTCAGAAGCATACCACTTGCTGTGGGAAGACTTGTGTCTGTAAGAAAGCATTGCTGTGGGTAACTTTGTTCATGGAGGATGGTGAAGAATGAACTGTATATTGCATTTCTTTAAATAATACAGTATTTCAAAAATTTACCGAAGAGAGCCTCAGCCTCTAGAGAAAAAGGATTGCTGATGGCTCTCAACTTTATTTGTTACTTTGGTGATTGATAAAAGCAGCAAAAATGGGAAAAATCAATTAATGTTTTAAAATTACTGCAAAAATAATACAGGCTTATTGAGAAAATTACAGAAAGTAATTACGAAGTTAATTTTCTTAACACTTTTCTAACCATCTGTTTCTAGGGATAATTACTGTGAACAGCTTAATGAGTATTTTAAGAAATTTGATTTTTCTGGGTATTTGGGTATTCATTTTTCATTTTTTCAGTCTATATTTATTGAGTGCCAGACTAATTCAGGCACTAATCTGGGTGCTGGGGTTATTACAGTAAAGAAAACAGATAAAAATTCCTGGCTTCATGGAGCTTACATTTTAGTGGGTAACAGTAAATAAATAAGTTATTAAAATATGGTATGTCAGATGGTTATGAGGTTTATGTACATGTTTATGTATATGTGTAAAGTTTTGTTTTGTATAAGTCCCTTTTCTTTTTCCCCAACGAGAAGATTCAAAACTAGGTTTGGCTAACTGAATAGATAAAACTTTTGAGGATGTAAAGGAAATGGTCAAATGGCTACTGATATTTATCTTTCTTAGTTTTACATACTTATTTAAAATCATAAATAATGTATATATTAAGAAATAGTGCTTTTGTTTCTACTCGCATTTTGTGAAATGAGCTTATTCGAACTATGCACATATGTCTTTGATGCCGTTATCTTCAACATCACTCAGTCATCTTAGTGCGGTTTCTAGAGCACATTTTTAGTTTTAGATTATTTTAAGATATAATGCTTTTTGAATCATTGTATGATGCTGTCACTGAAAATGATAAACCAAGATACAACTGTCAGAACATTAAGACAGTTTTTTTCGTTTGTCTTTTATAGTTGGGTGTTTTTCAAATTGCAGATTGTAACCCATAACTGGGATTTTTTAAATCAGTTTAGTAAGTAGGTTGTCTCTCTCTACCACTAGAGACTGTAAGACTTGATCGTATCTACCTTAGCAGTCTCAGTACCCAAATTGTAGGTGCTCAGTACATACTAGATGGATCAATGAATAAATTGTTCTTTAAAGGCTTGTTTATAATGACATTCAGCATTTCTGCTGTGAGGACATACTCTAGAAATAATTGTTAAAATCTGTGTCACATTTCTTTGCTTCCTTTATTATTGATTCTTTCTGGTGACCTATTAGTATCAAAATAGCATCAGTTGTGGTCGTTCAAGATAACATCTCTTTCATAAGTGTTTATGGATGTTCTAAATAAAGAGAAGATTCCTCACCTTATATTCAGGATACATGACTTTTGGAGGATTGGGGTCAGAAACATCTCCACTGTCTGAATCTTTGGTGGTTAGTAATCTTATGTCCCCTGAACCTTGCCATATATATGTTAGAACTCAGTAATTGTTTTTATAGTGGGAAAGTATAGATGAATTCTTGGAAGCTCTTGCTTTGTTTTCCCCTCTTAGAAAGCACAGGAATATGGCTATAACCAGTCGATGATGGCTCGCTTCTGCAAGCTGCTGGAGGAGAACGTAGAGCACAATGTGATCGGCAGACTGCCTGTTTTACAGCTCACTGTTCAATACAGGATGCACCCAGACATATGTCTCTTCCCTTCTAATTATGTGTATAACAGAAACTTGAAAACAAACAGGTTGGTTCAATTTATTGCATGTTAGTTTATTTTATTTGTAGGTTTAGCTGCTTAGGAAGAATAGCCATTTTACTGTGTTCTTAAGTCTTGTCATGAAAAGCACACATCACCAGGGTTTTTTAAATTAATTATTTTCTGTAACTATACAAGCCGTACATATTTATTGTAGCAAATGAAGATAAAAAAGGAAAAAAAAATCACTGGTAACATTTTGGTATATCTCCTTCTGGTTCTTTTTTAAGTGCATATCTTCTTTTACTTTTTCTCTCTTTTTAAATTTTTGAAAAACAACTGAGCCGTACTTCCTTATGTTCTGTGGCTTGCTATTTTCACTTAATAAGGAGCCCTGGTGGCACAGTAGGTAAGGAGCCCTGGTGGCACAGTAGTTAAGTGCGTGGCTGCTAACCAAAAGATGGAGGTTGAATCCACCAGCTGCTCTGCAGGAGAAAGATGTGGCACTCTGCTTCCCTAAAGATTTATAGCTTAGGAAGCCCAATGGGGCAGTTCTGCTTTGTCCTGTAGGGTCGCAGTGAGTCAGAGTCAACTTGATGACAGTGGGTTATATCACTTACTTACAATCATAGTGTTACATTTTAATTACTAGATAGGTTACTATTCCTAACACTAAAATAAAAATAAAGTCAGTTTTTTTCCTTTTACTAATACCCATCTGTAAAAGAAAAGTTTCTTCTAGTCCCTTTCCTTTCTCTATAATCCTCTCCCCTACAAAATGATAATTATAATAAAATATAACTATAGACATATTCTGAATGGTGGCTGCTTTTTTATAGAGTGACTGAAACCAATCGATGTTCATCAGACTGGCCATTTCAGCCTTACCTTGTGTTTGATGTCGGAGATGGTTCAGAAAGACGGGATAATGAGTATGTTCTTCTCTTTCTTCAATCCCCAGAGATAGTCACAGAATTGTTTACATTATTTTGTTCAGATTTATGTTAAAAACATTTTCTGTACACACCTCTTTGTCTAGTGCCAGGGCACAATCATTTTCATTTAGCTGGGTTGTGATAACTTTTCCTTTTTTGTCATATATTACTGATGGCTTTCTTTATGTATTTGAGCCTTTTTATTTTTTATAAATATGTGTAATGGGGATAATACTACCTAACATGTGGTAAACACTTGTGATCACAGCAGTGAAGTAAAACAGACACAGCCCCATTGCAAGGATATTGTAGTCTAATAAGGAAGACAGAATTTAGCAGGTAAGCACCTGGGTAATTTGTTGATCCAGTTAGGTTAAGTGCTGTGGAGGAAAAGTGTATGGATTAAATTGGATTAAAATGTGAACGGGAGTAAGGAAGTAGAGGTGGAAGGTAGACAGTGCTTTCAGGGTATTGGACTGTGAATGAGGGAGAGTGTCCAGGTGGTCTGGGAATGACAGCAGAAGGGAATGGTAGTGTTGCTAGAGGGTAAAAACTTCAGAGGGGTCAGGGGTTCTTGTGAGAGAGTAGAGGAGTAATAGTCTGGAGGCAGCATTTGTTAGCACGGATACAAACCCCCACCTCTGTATCATCAAGTGTGAGGAAATACAAATTCTACCTTTGTATCATGAGAAGGATGCAGAGCAGATGCTGTTCTCAGGTGAGAATCAGGTATTGGTTAAGATATAGAGGTGGAGAGTGGGAGCATTCAGTGAATAAGTGAAAAATACATTAGAGTTGACATGGGATTGTAATGCCAGAGACACAGTGAAAAGGTTTTAGTGGGGCTGTGGAGGTGGAGCAGAGAATTAAGAGTTGAGCACCAGAACATTATGGAGATGGAAGGCCACAAGAGGAATATTGGCCAGAGTTACTTAACCTGAGAGGTGTCCGAGGGAATACAAATTTAGCTCTTATGTTAAGAGTTGGCTAGCTGTCTGGATTGTCATTATAGTAAATGAAGTTAGGATAGTGAGTATTTAAGGCTTTTAAAGTGAGACAGATAAAGTAGGCTCAGGAATAAAGGTGCAGGTACAGTGCATACCCTGTTGTTTATGTATTTAGATCCAGTATGGTATTGAGGGAGCACCATCATTTGGGAGATTGCATCACAGGAATAGCAGGAGCCCACTTGAGTTTGGGGGTGCAGAATATGTGGCCAACGAGGAGAACAATAAGGACATGGGCCTGGTGCAGGGCCCCAAGTTGTTCAACTGTAGCGGCCCCATCTTTCCATTCAGTGTGTTTGGATGGCATCTCAGTTGTACAGTGCATGGTCTACACGGCCAGTGGTGGTGGCCCTGGCCTTGTCCTAGACAGTGGTGGGCAATTAAAGAAGATAATACATCTAAAGCACTTTTCTCAGAGTTTAGAACATTGTAAATTTTCAGTTAATGTTGTTGTAGTCGTTAGTTGCCATCGAGTTGACTCCGACTTAAGGTGGCTTTGTGTATAACAGAACAAAACGTTCCCTGGTCCTGCACTATCTTCACAATCATTGGTATGTTTAAGTCTATTGTTGCGGCTATTATGTAGCCTTCCAGCCTTGGGGGCTCATCTTCCAGCACTCAGTCAGACGGTTTTTTTATGTGATTCATAAGGTTTTCACTGGCTAGTTTTCAGAAGTAGATCACTGGGCCTTTCTTCCTAGACTGTCTTAGTCTGGAAGCACCCCTGAAACTTGTCCAGTGTGGGTGATCACGTTGGTATTTTAAATACTGGGGGCAGAGCTTACAGCATCATAGCAAAACAGAAGCCACCACAGTACGACAAACTGACAGATGAGTGGTGGTAATTACTGTTAGCTGTTTATTATTATCATGTTCATTATTGTAAATACTGTTGTTACTACTGTTATTATCCCTACTTTAACAGATGAAGAAATTGGTGCCTGAATCTCGGTTGACTCCAAACTCTGTTGTCTCTACAACGTCCTGTTTCACTGGGCAGTTATTTTTCATGTTTATTCATACATATGATATTAAAGGTCATTATAGCAGCCTCTTTGAGTCACTGCTGGCTGAATAAATGATGAAACCTACCTGCCTGCCCTTTACTGTGATGGAAGACAAACAAAGTGGAACTTAAGTTGGCAATTAGACTGCTGTTAATTTTGATATGTTTGTTTGTTTTTCATCTTATTTAGCTCATATATTAATGTTCAAGAAATAAAATTGGTGATGGAAATAATTAAACTTATTAAAGACAAAAGAAGGGATGTTACTTTCCGAAACATTGGCATAATAACCCATTACAAGGCTCAGAAGATGATGATTCAGAAGGATTTGGACAAAGAGTTTGATAGAAAAGGGTGAGGCATTTTTACACTTATTTCCAGTTTTTCTGTTGCATTAACAAGAAGAGAGTTAGGAAAGAGAGAAGAAGAGGAAACCTAACTCTAGGGAGTGGTCTTAGACCATGTAAGGTGTTGGTAAGGCACAAGGAGACTGGGAAACTGGCTTCCATAAGACTTGTGCTGTGTAGGAGATGGTTACACTTGTGGCCTCGGTAGAAATGGTACCTTCTGGCGATTGGAACGTCAACATTACATTTAACAATGGAATTGACTAAGAAATTCTCCAGGCCTTTTCCTTTTAGTTCCATGTCTTGTTAATCTGAATTCTAATTCTTGTATTGCCTTTGTGCATAGAGTGAAGATTGTGTTTTGTCTCCTTACCTCAACAGTAAAATTAAGGATAAAATATTGGAAATCACTTAACTCAAAAGTTTTATAACCTAGAAACACACAAAGTACACAAAATTATTGAAGAAGTAGAAAATGTGAATAGATTTATAATAAGTAAAGAGATTGAATTAGTAACCAAAAATCTTCCAGCAGAAAAACCCTGGACCAGATGACTTCATTGGTGAATTCTACCAAATGTTTAAAGAAGCGTTAATACCAATCCTTCTCAAACTCATCAAAAAACTAGAGGAGGAGGGAACACTTCCTAACTCATTCTGAGGCCAATATACCAAAGCCAGACAAAAGACATCGCAAGAAAACTACGGACCAATATTCTTTATGAATATAGATGGAAAAGTCCTGTACAAAATACTGGCAAACCAAATCCAGCAGCATATAAAAAGGATTATACACCATGACCAAGTGGGATTTATCCCAGGAATGCAGGGTTGGTTCAACATTTGAAAATCAATCAGTGTAATGTACTCTATTAATATAGAATAAAGGAGGAGGGGAACCACATGATCCTTTCAGTTTATGATATAGAAAAAGCATTTGACAGAATCCAACACCCTTTCATAATAAAACCACTTAACAAGCAAGGAATAGAAGGACACATTCTCAACCCAATAAAGGGGGGTAGTCATGAGTCTGAATCATCTCGATGTCAGCTGACAACAGCAACATGAAAATCTCAGCTGACATCAGACTTACTAATGATAAGTTTGTATGATAAGATCAGGAAGGATGATCACTACTTCTTTTCAGCATTGTGTTGGAGATTCTAGCCAAGGCAGTTAGGCAAGAGAGAGAAATAAAAGGCACCCAGATTATAAAGAAAAAGATAAAACTATATATACAGTTGACATGATCTAACATATAGAAATCCCTAAAGGAATCCACCGCAAAAAAAAAAAAGAAAAAAAAAGTTCAGCAAAGTTACAGGATACAAGATTAATGTACAAAAATCAGATGTATTTCTATTCACTAGCAGTGAACAATATGAAAATGCAATTAAGAAAACAATTCCATTTACAATAGCATCAAAAAGAATAAAATACTTAAGAATAAATTTAACCAAAGAAGTGTAAGACTTTAAGACTTGTACACTGAACACCAGAAAACATTGTTGAAAGAAATTAAAGAAGACCTAAATAAATGGAAAGACAGCCTTTATTCATGGTTGCAAGGCTTCATAATGTTAAGATGGCAATATTCCCAAATTGATCTGCAAATTCAATGCAATCTCTATTAAAATTGCAACTGTTTTTTTTTAAACCAGAAATGGATAGGCTGATCCTAAAATTCACATGGAAATGCAGAGGGACCCTGAATAGCTAAAGCAGTCTTTAAAAAGAACAAACTTGGAGGAATCATGTTTCCCGATCTCAAAACTTAACTACAAGATAGTTTTGTGCTGCCATAAGGATAGACATATTACCAATAGAATAGAATTGAGAGTCCAGAAATAAACCCGTACACCTATGGCCAGTTGATTTTCAACAAGGGTGCCAAGACCATTTAATAGGGAAAGAATAGTCTTTTTCAACAAATGGTGCTGGGACAACTGGATATCCACATGCAAAAGAATGAATTTGGACACCTGTCTCACATGATATACAAAAACTAACTCAAAATGGATCAAAGACCTAATAAAATTCATAGAAGGAAACATAGGTGTAAATCAGCATGACCTAAGATTATGCAATAGTTTCTTAGATAGTACATCAAAAACACAAGCAGCAAAAGAAAAAATGAGTAAATTTGACTTGATCAAAATTAAACAGTTTTGTGCATCAAAGGACACTATCAAGAAAGTTAAAAAAACCACAGAATAGGAGACAGTATTTACAAATCTTATATCTGATAAGGGTTAGTATCAGAATATATAAAGAACTCCTACAACTCAGCAACAACAAAACCCAGTTAAAAATTGGGAAAATCACTTGAATAGACATTTCTCCAGAAAAAATACAAAAGTGGCCAATAAGCACATGAAAAGATGCTCAATGTCATTAGTCATTGGGGAAATGCACATCAGAACCACAATGAGCTACCACTTCACACCCACCAGGATGGCTTTAATTTTAAAAAAAGATGTAGAGAAATAGGATTCCTTACATTGCTGGTAGGAATGTAAAATAGTGTCGCTGTAGGAAAGTTTGGCAGTTCGGCAAGAAAAGTTAAACACAGAATGACCATGTGATCAAGCAGTTTTAAAAGAATTGAAAACTTGTTCACACAAAAACTGGTACATGAATGTTCATAGCAGCGTTATTTGTAATAGCCAAAAAGTGGAAACATGTCAAATGTCTATCAACTGATGAATAGCTAAATAAAATGTAGTATATCCATATGGATATATTGGAGTATTATTCATCTATGAAAAGGAATGATGTACTGTTGCGTGCTACTACTTGGATGGACCTTAAAAAACAATATGCTAAGTGAAAGAAGCGAGACGCCAAAGGCCACATGTTTATGATTTCATTTATGTGAAATGTGCAGAATAAGCAAATCCATAGAGACAGAAAGTAGATTAGTGATTGCCAAAGGATGGGTGGGGGTCAGGGTGAGTAATAGGGACCAACTGTTAATAGGTATGGGTTTTCTTTTTGTGATGATGGGAATATTCTGTAATTAGATAGTGATGGTTGCACAGTTCTGTGAGTATACTAAAAACCACTGATTTGTACATTTTAAAATGGTGAATTTTATGTGAATTGTATCTCAATAAAAAAAAAAAGACCATGAAAAAAAGTTTCTTTAAAATACCGCTGTATAAATATGTATATTTAATAATTATCTTAAACTTCTCTAGTAAATGTGTTTTTGTTTCTGTAAATAGACCCGCAGAAGTAGATACTGTGGATGCCTTCCAGGGTCGTCAGAAGGATTGTGTTATTGTTACATGTGTCAGAGCAAATGCCATGCAAGGCTCAATTGGGTGAGTAACCATAATTGTTCGTTTTGTATTTGTTTATAATCCAGGCTTAGATCCATTATCTTTCTCTGTTAGAGACACCATCATTTGCTTTATTAGTTTTCTTTTATAAAAACTTGTATAATATCATGTAGGTTTTTTTTGTTTTTAAAGTTGTAAAATAGATCCACTCTTAGGTCTGTTTCTCTTTTGCTACCTTATATATTAACTCATTTCACAGTGTGACTCTCTGTTCATTTATTTAATAAAACTGAAATAAATTACTAGATCAGATATATTTTGTAGGAACATGTTGCTCTCACATGGTATGTGTCATACAGTGGTTTTTGCTCTTTTCTCTCTGTTTCCCTGCTATGGCTAAGTTTGCTACCCTTATCTGCTGTCAGTTTACTTATTGATAATGTTAAGATTACTGTTATGGCTGACACTCAAAAATCTGCTGAGTCTCAGGGCCTAAGACTCTTATGTGATTATTTTCCTTTTCATGAGAAGCAGATGGAATTTACAAGTTATAAATTTAATTGTTCTTTAATAAAAATAGCAAATTATGTTATCACTGCCCTGTCCTAGAGAGAGCCTGCATCTATAAATGGGGACCAATTATATCAGGACCATTTTTTAAAAATAGTACATGCTTTCCCAACCAATTTGACATCTTACTGTTATCATATGCCATTTCTATGACTCAGCTCTTTTTAGGTCCATTGATACTGTATTTGCCTGATCTCTTTGTGTATTTTAGCACTATGAGTTCCCATCGAGTTGATTCTGACTGGTGTGTAAAAACAGATGATGATGACACCCCTCCCCCACACCTATCCCTATCCTTTCACCATCCTTACCCAGGGCTGATCTTGCAAGAAGTGTGCAGGGAAAATGGTACCATGCCTGGCATACTAGCCCAGTTGCTGTTGAGTTGATCCCAACTCATGGCAACCCCATGTGTGTCAGAGCAGAACTGTGCTCTATAGGGTTTTCTTTTTTTGTTGTTGTAGTTTAAATGAAGTTTACGTTTCAAGTTAGCCTCCCATACAAAAATTTATACATACATTGTTATGTGACCCTAATTGCTCTCCCCATACTGTGACAGCACACTCCTCCTTTCCCCCCCTGATTCCCCATGTCCATTCAACCAGCTCCTGACCGTCTCTGCCTTCCTATCTCACTTCCAGACAGAAGCCGCCTGTTTAGTCTCTTCTATCTACTTGAACTAATAAGAGGCACACTCCTCACGAGTATCACTTTATGTCCCAAAGTCCAGTCCAATCCCTGTGTGAAGAGTTGGCCTCAGAAATTGTTTTAATCCTGGGCTGATAGAGAATCCAGGGGCCATGCTTTCTGGGATTCCTCCAGTCTCAGTCAAACCATTAAGTCTGTTGAGTTCTGCACCCCACCTTTCTCCTGCTCCATCCAGGACTCCCTGTTGTGTTCCCTGTCAGGGCGGTCATTGGTGGTAGCCAGTCACCATCTAGTTCTTCTGGTCTCAGGCTGATGAAGTCTCTGGTTTATGTGGTCCTTTCTGTCTTTTGGGCTAATACTTTCCTTATGTCTTTGGTGTTCTTCATTCTCTTTTACTCCAGGTGGTTGGGACCAATTGATGCATCTTAGATGGCCATTCGCTAGCTTTTAAGACCCCAGACGCCACTCATCAAAGTAGGATGCAGAACTTTTTCTTAATAAGCTTTGTTATGCCAGTTGACCTAGATGTCCCCTGAAAGCATGGTTCCCAGACCCCTACCCCTGCTACTCTGTTCCTCAAAGGGTTTGATTCAGGAGACTTCTTAGCTTTGGTTTAGTCCAGTTGTGCTGACTTCCCCTGTAGTTCATGCTGTCCTTCCCTTCACCTAAGATAATTTCTTATCTACTATCTAGTTAGTAAATAACCCTCCCCCTCCCTCCCCACCCTCCTTAACCATCAAAGAATGTTTTCTTCCGTGTTTAAACCTTTTCTTGAGTTCTTAATAATAGTGATTTTATACAATATTTGTCCTTCTGTGACTGACTAAATTCACTCAGCATAATGATCTCCAGATTCCCTCATGTTATGTTTCACGGCTTCATCGTTGTTCTTCATCGTTGCATAGTATCCCATTGTGTGGATATACCATAATTTATTTCTCCATTCATCCACTGATGGGCACCTAAGTTGTTTCAATCTTTTTGCTATTGTGAGCAGTGCTGCAGTGAACATGGGTGTGCATATATCTATTCATGTGATGGCTCTTATTTCTCTAGGATATATTCCAAGGAGTGAGATAGCTGGATCGTATGGTACTTCTATTTCTAGCTTTTAAAGGAAGCACAAATCGATTTCCAAAGTGGTTATACCATTTTATATTCCCACCAACAGTGTATAAGTGTTCAGTCTCTCCACAGCGTCTCCAGCATTTATTATTTTGTGTTTTTTGGATTAATGCTAACCTTGTTGGGGTGAGATGGTATCTCATTGTAGTTTTGACTTGCATTTCTCTAATGGCTAATGATCATGAGCATTTCTTCGTGTGTCTGTTAGCCACCTGAATATCTTCTTTATCCAAGTGCCTGCTCATATCCTTTGCCCATTTTTTAATTGGGTTATTTGTCTTTT